AACTTCTACCGTCGGTTTATTAAGGGTTATTTACGGCATGTGATGCCCCTAACTAAGCTTACTAAAACTAAGGCTAACCTAACTAGAGAGTTTAAATGGACTAATAGAGCACAAGCCGCTTTTGACGGCCTAAAGCAACGCTTTACTAATGTCCCCTTATTACACTATTTCGTACTAAGCAAGCAGATCCGAATTGAAACTAACGCTTCACAGTTCGCTATATTAGCTATTATGTTACAGTAGGCTAATAATACCTATTAGCACCCGATTACCTTCTTTTTATAGAAGATAATCGACGTAGAACGTCGGTACGAGACCTACGAGTAAGAGCTCCTAGCAATCGTAGAAGCCTTTAAGCACTAGCGCTATTATCTCGATAGTGCTTAGCACCCTATTTAGGTCTATACGGACTATAACAACCTCCGTAGGATTACGAAGGTTACTAGGGTTATAGGTCGATAGGCTAGATAGGCCGTCTACCTCGCTAGGTTCGATTTTAATATATTATATCGGCTAGGCGTAAGTAACCCTACTAATAGCCTATCGAGGCGACCTAATTACGATAGCGAAACCTAACACATTAATTCTCTATTTCTAACCCTATAGTATAAGATTACTATAGACCTTACTATAAAGCAGGTATAGGATAAGCGGACTTCCGGACCCCGCGGCGGTAACAAATACTATAGCGGAGTTGTCGTTCTTCTAGTATACGTTAAAAAGGACGTAGATCGCTCGAGCTATAACGACTCGATTGAAGATATTGCTATTTATAGCGATAGCACTGCAGAAGAGGTTGCAGTTAATCCGGCTACTAGTGCTATTAGATACATATAATACGTACCTCGTTTAATAGCGAGGGTGCTATTAAATGACCTTATAAATAGGGATAGTCAATCGTTTATAGATAAGCTGTTGCGTACTTAGTAGAGGGACGCCTTTGCTATCGAGCGCATTAATAGGCTTGTAAGTAGGCGGGCGACCCGATCTAGCAAGAGTAATAATAATTAGTCGATCGACGACAAAGGTTACTTAAAGTTTAAGGGCAGATACTATGTCCCCGCTAAACAATCGATTAGATAAGAGCTTTTAAAGAGGCACTATAATAGTGAACTCGCTAGTTACTATAGCATAGAGAGGTCGCACGAGTTACTATCGCGCATATACTACTAGCCGAATAGTAAGCGGTATATAAAGGAGTATATACAGACCTATGCAGTATGCTAGCGAGTTAAAGCACTAAAGCACTTACTATTTGGCGAGTTGTCTTTACTCCCTGTTCTAAAGAAGCTATTTATAGAGCTTATAATGGATTTCATTATAGGTCTTCCCCCTACTAAGCGAAGAGGAAGCAAAGACATCTTTAACGCTATCCTAGTCGTCGTAGACCGATTTACTAAAGGCGCTCGTTACATCCCTGCTAGGAAGGATTAGACGGCTATTAACTTAGCTAAGTTACTATAGAATAACATCTTTTGCAGCTATTAGGGAACCCCTAAGGGGATAGTCTCTAACCGAGGCCCGACATTTATATCTTACTATTAGAGTAAGATATGCCTATAGCTAAGACTTAAGCATCGCCTGTCTATAGCATTCTATCTATAAACAGATAGCTAGACCGAGAGGCAGAATACTACGCTATAGCAGTACCTACGTAGCTATATTAATAACAACCCTAACGACTAGGTTAACCTCCTATAACTAGCCGAATTCGTATATAACAATAGTATCCACTCATCTACTAAGGTGTTACCTTATTTCGCTATAATAGGCTAAAACGCTGCTATACTACAAGACCCCTTGTCGCTCGAGGCCGAGCGCAAGGAAAGGGAAGCGGGTTAAGGTCAACCTAAAACACTAGTAGCTATTAAGAGGGTTTAGAAGATGCGAGAAATCTATACTAAGATAGCCGAGAAGTTGACAAAGGCTTAAGAGTACTAAAAGACCTACTATAATAAATACTACCTTCTAATAACCTTTAAGTAAGGCGATATAGTTATGCTTAGTATAAAGAACCTCCGTATCCGCAAACACCTATTACCCGATAGTAAAACAAGGCCTAAGCTCGCACTAAGATATATTAGCCTATTCCGCATCCGAGAACCGAAGGGTATATAGGCCTACTAGTTATAGCTTCTACCCTATTACACTATCTATAACACCTTCTATGTATCCCTCCTTAAGCTATACTATTAACGCGAAGGCGACGAAGCACCTGCTAAGTTAGAAGAAGTCTTAGCTAATAGTAAAGAACTGTAGTCTATAGAACGTATTCTATAGCACCGGACTAGGAAAGGCAAGAAGGAGTACCTATTAAGATAGTAAGGCTATTCGCCTAAATAGGACTCGTAGGAAGCTAAAGCCTCTTTTAAAGACATAACTAAGCTGTTAGACGAGTATTAGACTAGTATAAAGAATAAGAAGAAGGCTAAAAGCTCGTAATATTACTAAGGCTTAGGATTAATAGCACCCCCGGGGTACTATTAGCTAACTAATTAGAGGCCGACAAACTAGGATAATAAGACTACACTACTATAGTAGACGCGCACTAAGCATTAATAAGCGCGCTATAGCTGTTAACTAATCGCCTACTCTTTTAAGGATTCTACCTCTTCCTTAATACGCCCTATAGGTCCCCCTCTTGTTCTTTATTCTATCGAGGCCTCGAGACCTAAGCGTTCGATAAGGGCGACGCGCGCGCGCGTACGAATAACGGTAATAAAGGTAATAGTGCCGCGCTACGAGCTAGCAGTACGCCGACGGCTAGCGCGGCTATATTAGTAACGGTATTGCGGAGTGTGTTGTTAGTAGAAGGAGGAGATTAGAAGCGAGGTAAAGTTAGCGCTAAGACGACTAGCGCCGCTATTATTAATATTACTTGCTATTATCGCTATACCTATAGACATAACCTTACCTATACTATGAGCCTAAGGCACCTTTAATCAAAACTTTGATTAAAGCTTTAAGCCTATTAAAGGTTTGATTAAAACTTTAAGGCCGAGTTAAAACTTTAAGCCGCTTAAAAGATTAAGTAGACTAATAGACTAACTAACTAAGGGCAAAACTATAGAGCTAAGCTAGCCGGGGTCGATCTTGCGGATAATAGGTTACTCCTCGATCTATCTAACCCTTTAAGCGAGGCGAACCTCTACTACTATACTTATAATAGCCTTTACTTATAGAAACTAGACGAGCTGTGTTTTTTAAAAAGATAAGATAAGATTGACACTTAAAGGCTGCTAAACCTAGCTAATTAGGGCTAGCGAAACTACGAACGACAAGAACAATAACCCTCGGAAATAGACAAACCCTCGGAAGCGGATATTGCTAGGTCTTTTAAGAGTAGACGTAAAGAACTCGATACGACATTACTTAGAACGGAGGCAGTGCTATAATACCTCGTATGTCTATCTATTATAGTAGGGAAGACGCGCTCGTATTGTGATTGGTCGAAGGCCTTCAATTCTTGTAGATATATATCACTTTATAGTTTATTATATATAGAGATAGCGCAGTTAGAGTTGTATATTGTATTATTAGAGGTAAGGTTTAATATAGTTACATAATTAGGTAGTTAAGTGTTCAATTCAGCGCGGGCTAAGCAGCTTATTGGACCTGCTGAGTCAGCAGCAATAGAGGTTAAGACTGGGACAAAGACCGGCCACGAGGGCGCGGCCTTTGGAAGGGAAGCGTGTGTCAGGGCCAAAGGGGCTACACGTGATTGGCATATGACCAGGCCGAGTGAAGCCAGGGTCTTGATGCCTCAGGCAGGGCTTGGCGCTTGGCGTTGGGCCAACTCTCCTGCCTTCCTCCCTCTCCTCCTAGCTCCTTATCGAATACTACTTGTACCCACCACCACCCTATCTACCTGCTGACATAACCCTTCTGACAGTAGCTGACGCAACCCCGGATAGGCTGTCGAGCCCGAACGACCTCGACCTCCTACCACTACTTACCACTTCCTACTTACTACTCACTACTTACTACTTACTACTTACTACTCACCACTTACTACTACTTACTACTTACCACTCACCACTCACCACTCACAACCCACCAGCCACAGATTGTGCGCGCATTCCCCGATCCTTGCAATTGACGCTCATCTGGCGTAAGGACAGCCCCGGTCTCAAAGCAGCACCAACACTCCCATCAAAGCCCAAGCCATTTGCACCCAACGTGTTAGTAGTGCATCATTTGGGCATTTCACAGAGCGAACGTATCGTCTTGCTGCTCGAGGAACTCGGGCTTGCAGTGAACACGAACTCGTCAGATACATCCATGCTTCATTTGATCCTCTCTGCTACCCTCCATCGTCAAAACATGAACAGACTAATCGAGGCACCGTAAACAGACCCACGTGGCACAACTGTATCAGCCAGTATTCGCTAGGCGGGCACAGACTCATCGATGCCTTGATCAAAGCACTAGCTACCTGAAGCCCTAACGATAATGACCTCAGTCCTCCAATACCTCTTCTTCTGGAACCTTGACTCTCCTCATGACAACGACTGGCGTCCCCAAGCAGGCCAAAATCCAACACAATCCATCGACAGTCTCCCGCCATTCCTGAAACGAACAGACATTGAAGCCACGGTAGTCGATACAGCACCCTTCATAACCGGAGCAGGTGGTCCAGCACATATTTCGCAGCTTAATGCATTCGGCTTCACCGCACATGCATCAATCTTTAAAAATGTCAGGACTCTGACTGCCATGCATCGGGCTATTTTGGTTGTGGCGCCACTGGTCTTGATTTGCCAAGCTTCGGGCATAGACTACAGGTATGCGATTCCGAGATGGTGTCATGATCGGGAACTGAGGAGAGACGAAGAAGAGGTTAGGCAGCGTGTACATGGGGGGATGGGGCTCGGAGCGGCGGTCTGGTTTTCGAGGTTGGCATTCGGGTTTGGCACAAGGTTCTGGGCACCGATCGACATTGTAATGGGAGGAGCTTTGGCAGACTTGATGCACCGAGAGTACATGAAGGCTCATGGGTTATGATCGAGAACTGAGGCCGTGCTGTTCAGATGCTATCGTGCTATGATAACAAAGGTCGTGGAGGGAAGGCCGTCGAGAACGGCTACTCTGCCAGAGCCACTGACCGCTTTCTTCGGCGCAAGAATGCCACAGTGGGTGGCCTCAAGACGTCATTGAATATGGCCGTTCCGTACACCAGCAACGCGAAGCCAACGATCTGCAGCCATTTGAAAGTCTCCCATCCCAAGCCGAGGGAAACAAGCCAGATGAACAAAGTTCGGCAGGTATCGATGGTCGATCGAGCTGTGGCTGATATTGATCGAGTGACGCTGAGGCCGAAGAAATTGAACCCGCTATGATGAGTTAGTGTGAGCATTCATTGTGAACACGGTAAGACAACCTACCCAATCGATATCATGATGAGGATAGATGTGATACCGATGGCTCGGTAGTGGAACATCTCATAGAAACCTTCTCTTGCGTCGAAATAGCCTCCTTGGCCCTTCGCTGTTTGACCAATAGCGCCATGCAGAACCCCCATCCCGACCAGTGTAACCAAGAAACCAAACACACCTTCCCAGCCAACCACTTGAATTGGGTCCATTGAATAGCGCTCCATAATGCTTTCTTCCAAAACGAATTGCGTTGCGGTGAAGACTTGTGCGAAGGCGATTAAGAAGAAGCCAAGCACGGTCTCAGCAGCGGTATGAGTTTCCATGGCTGAGACTGCTTTCCTGGCGTACAGAGTCGCCATGCTGTAGAGGTTTGTCTCGTCATTGGGCTGAGTATTTCCTGGAACCTCTGGCGGATGATCTCTCTTCTCCAACACTCCGGCAAGACCGACAATGGCCACGCCCAGAACCACAACGAACAGGCTCGCCCATTTCCAGCCGCCTAGGTGTCGCTTCAAGAATAAGACGCTGAAAAGACCAACAAAGAGCACGAGTGCTCCTCTGGTCATCTGGTATATGGATGCCGCAACGAAGAGAAGTCCAACATTCATCAAAGTTGTGCCGCAAATGTCACATATGGCTGGCAAGGCAAGCAGGAAGATCTTATACCCCTCCAGCGGTGCTCTGTCGTGGTGCTCCAGCTCAGCGTCTATTGCTGCCTTTACTACGATGTTGGTCGGATCTACGAGTGTTTGCGATGTGGACAGGTCGCCCTCGGCTCTTTCGTCGTCATCGTCGTCGGTCTCTTGATTGTGAACCGGATCATATCTTATTTCGTCGATAGGCGTAGTGTGTCCAGGTGTTCGGAGTCGGCGAAAGAGGTAGCCAAGGAAAACCACCAGCCAGCATCCAGACTCCCCTACAAACATCTGGAGCGTCTGGATGACTGGTTGCTCGAAGAGCCTCGGGTGATCGGTCTCGCAGTCTGCCACGCATTGCATGTCCTATCAGGCATACTATCAGCTTTCGCACCATCAAGGCGTCCATCGGGGTGCAACGTGCGAGCATACCTGGTACTTGGTTAGTAGCGTGTTGCAGACGCCGGTCAGCAGCATGAAGGCCACCAAGACCGGCACCACCGTCCTATTCGTCATGATGGTATGCGAAAAATAGTGTTTGTAGAGATTGGAGGCGACCTATGTTGCCATCGAGCAGCGCACCAGCGAGATGTATACCGGAAGACTGCAGGTAACGTGCTCGTGTGAGTGCATCACATGTCGCAACGGCTCAGCAGCCTCAGCTCAATCAGGGTACGATGATAAAGGTGGATCCACTTCGGCCCGGCTCGCAATCTAACCTTATTGTCGGGTAGGAATACCACGTTGATACGACTCCAACTTCACCTTCCTTCACCTCAACCGCAAAATCAATCGACTCTGTATCCTCCATCCGCAATAGCCGACCAGTGCTCGCTCCTACTTATGTCCTTCGCCACTATGGCTTCAACACTCCCACGCGTGGTGCCAGTCTCGAATTCAAAGCTGTCCTCCATCGGAACTCTCGATTATGCTTGGCCAAACTTGATGCCAAAAGCCGTATGCGTTCTCGGTCGCTTAGATGAGCTATATCACCTGCAAAATGTATCAAGGTATAAGTGAGGATTTGCACATGACAATTTCTGGTGGTTGCCGTCCGCAATGGTGTGCTTCACTTCGACTTTCTCACATGCAAGGCCAAAGTGATCGTGATCTTACTCTTGGGTCGAGTATAAGTTTATTCAAACTACACAACTCTTTCTGCTACTGAAACATCACCTTTGACAAATAGCAGCTTGAGCGTCATACATCAAGCGCTCTCGCGATCGCACTCACTGTCGCGACCACTAAAGCACTCAAGCGGTGCAGTATTGAGATATCTCGACAGCCACGACTTGATACAAGACACCACAGAAGTCGAAATAACTCCACCGTTTAAGCTCTCAGTTACGACGGTTCTCCACGTCTTCATGTGTGCATCAGCGACGCAACACTAGGCCCACTCGACACCATGCGGCGAATAGCGTTGGCCGTGCTGGGTACTATTGTGCTAAAGGCCGCAGCACAGCTGGGGTGTCCGTCAACAGTGATCGTTACTTATACGAGCATCCCAACCTCAGAATCTTCGGGATCCGCAAGCGACTCCCCGTCGGTAGCCTCGAGCCAATCCGCAGTCACAGACTCAGCTTCTTCAATCTCGAGGCAGATCATAACTGTCACGGAGACTTCGGTCATAACTGTCACGGTCTCAACATTCACTCAAAATATCTGGTCGGGAACGGTCAAAGCGAAGATCTTGACAGGCGTTCGCACCATTACCAAGGAACTTGAGCGCTATGCATCCGGAGATGGTCTGATTGGTATCCGCATCACTTCCAACTCATGTCCTGGTGTACCAACCTCGACAATCACAGTGACAGGCACACCTCCGCTGTCCTGGTCGAGCAGCTCTGAAGAACCCAAGCCGACTATTACGACTAGCTCTGCCATCGGGGAGAGCACGACAGGATTGCCAGGCATCACAACTTCCAGCAGTGCACCATTAGAGCCATCCACAGCGAGCACCTCCTCGGCCTCGCATACATCTGCCAGTCAATCCTCTTTAGGCCTGAACTCGGATACGACTACAGAGGTTGACTCCTCTGCAACTGGAAGTCAACTCACGAGCAAGACCACCGAGACATCAAGTACTCCTCAAATACCTCTCGGAGACCCAAGCTCGTCTCTTCCATCGTCTACTGGGGGCGCGATAACCTCGTCTCCTACGCGATCTACCAGTGAACTCCCTGTTGACTTCTGGTCCACAGCTACACCTACGCTGACTATTAAACCTGATGGCTCTTATCAATTACCTTGCTTTACGTTTCCAGCCACTTACTCATACGTTCTGACGCCTCCACCCTACACGACTAGTTTGTGTAGACCACATTGCGGGGGCATTAAATACAGAACAAGGGTCACGATCCCACAGTCGAAATCCACCCTCACAAAAGTGTGCTATCCTACAATGCGAGCTACCGATCGTGGGCAGATAACCTTTACTCCTCTTCCCATCGTTGGCACGGGTGTGCAGCAGATACAGGCGCCGGTGGAGTGGGACAAATGTCCACCAAAACACCCTTACACCGCCGAACAAGAGAATGACTCAAAATGTGGCCCGGACCCATTCAAAGGAAAGAACTATCAGTGCAAGAAAGGAGTATGCTGCGGACCTCAAGGGGAGTGCGGAAAGGGCTGGGAGTATTGCAACGAAGGCTGTCAACCGAATTGGGGGTGAGTCACTCAGATCACACTGTCTAACACTATGTGAATTGACTCTGGTGCAGATTTTGCTGGAAGAACTCGACGTCGTGCAACGCCCCCGACCCGCCTTCCGAATCCGGTGAAAAGCATAGTGTGGAAATATTTCCAGTGTGGTATGATGCTCCAGAACCACGTAAGTACAGTTGAGTACACGGCATCATTTCTTTTTATTGCGTACCATCGCGCAAGACATTGGCTAAAATCCAACAGCTCCTCCAGACTTTCCGTGGCCACCAGTGTGGTTCATCGAACATAGCGGCTCGGCTTCTGATGATGTCGGATGTGGGTTCTGTCCTCCAGGATTCTCCCTTGAATGGGCGTTCGGCATCAAAGGTTTGTGCGGGATCTTTGGGTGTGACGGATGGGCCTTTGGATGGTTTTTGAAATTCAAACTTCCAAGTCTTAAGTGCAATTGGGTGGTCAAGCTCATTTGTAAGACGTTAAACCTCCCTTGCTGCAGGGGAGAGCACTCTGATGGGACTTCTGCTGGGTACGTGTATCACTGAACTCGAAGCATGCGGACCATGACTGACCATCTCAATTGCTGCGCAGTGTTGATTGCGATGCTCCGGTGTGCGACACCGTACCCCCCGGAGTTAGTATCGATGGCGGAGGCCAATTATGCGATGCTCCAGATATGACAGACTGCGAGACTACGCCGTCCGAGGAGGGAGAAGACGAGTGTGATCCAAAGCTGACTGTCACGGACAAGACAATATACTGCGACCTGGTCACCAACACCGCCGGCCAGTCATCAGAGACTTGCACTTCAACCGCCAAGGGCACGAGAACGGGATGCGAGGTAACTCCAAAAACGACAACAGTAACGACTACGGCCTGCGAAACGACGACCGCGGAGCACACATCTGTGTTCTGTAGTGTTCAAACGGGTGGTTCTGGAGCGCATGCGACTTCTAGCCAGACTTGCAGCAGCACGGTTAAGACCGTCAGCGGCTGTAGCGTGACCAATTCGGTCACGGCAGAAACCACAACTGGCTGCAGTACTGGCACCGCAGTTATAACTTCAGCTTTCTGCTCGGTTCGAACCGGAGCCAACGCGACTACGACGGACTGCCCGTCTACAGTATACACCACCTTTACTGGCTGCGATGCTTCTGGGAGTATCACGACTGATTTGACGACCACGTGCTCTACCTACAACACGGTCACAGATGTTACGGAGAAATGCTTCGGACATAACAGCACACACGTTCCAACGGTCATCAACGGGGTCACTACAACGCCAGACATAACATGTGAGTAGACCAAACTTCCTCTCGCTTAGGACATCTGCTAATGCTTCTACCCTTCACTTTTAGGTACGGCAACGAGAACAAGCGTACATTCCGGGTGTGATATTTCGGCAAGCACAACAACGTCAATCAGCTATTCGGAGCTAGTATGCGAGCTCTCGGAGACGGCGCCTTACATCCAGGTAGTCCCTGAGACTCCGGGCGGTCAACAATGGCCGATTACTTTTGGCGTTAATGCCACAGAGTCCGAAGGTTCGGCAACTCCAGCTCCAGGAGACGCAATCTCAGAGCCGACCACGTCTGCCGTGGCCAGCGCAACATCGTCAAGCTCAATTGCCTGTGCAGCGCCAAGCGTCGCCTCATTACCAGAATGTACTCCTATGGTGGCGCCGGAATTCAACGAGCCCATCACTGAGATGTTCGGACCAAATGAAAGTGGATCGACAACCGCTACGGCCGCGAAAGCCCGACGTCAAGTTGACTCGGGCGCTGGAAATGGCGAGACGGTGACTACAGGTCCGATTTCATGCTACTGTGGCACAGATCCGTCGCTCACGAACGTCTGGCCTGTCAGCATGTGCAGTACTCTGTTGTGTCCAAACCAACCTGCTTCATGGCAAGCGCAAAAAGGCAGTGCCACACAGTTGACAGTCGATGCGAATGCCAATATCGTTTCCTCTGCTTCGAGTACGGCGATGCCAAAGACTTCTGCTACAGGAGCCCCCGACGGCAAGAGAATCGCGGGCCGTATGAACGATGGTGGGCCGTTTTTTGGAGTGGGATCGTGGCTCGGAAAGTGGTTGAAATGGTAGCCTGGGAGTGTGGAATGGGGATGGAAATGCTCGGTTATAATTCGCACACAAGGATGACGGAAACTCAGGTACTCTTTCCCTACACGAACACTGAGAACCACCGTCTTGCTTCAAACTCGCGTCAGAAGGCTTCCATATTTACTCAGGAAGCTTCAAATTCATGCTAAGGAACGCCTTGGCCTCCTCCTCGCTGAAGTCGCTTTGGGCGCACTCCTTCTTATCGATGGGCCTGAGCTTGTTCACTCGTATGCGATACCACATCTCCTTTCTATCTCCGCCAAGTTCACCACCAAGCATTTTCCTCTTGATCTCCTTGAGCGCATCGTTGAAAGCAGCTGGCTCCTCAAACTCAATGACCTCTTCTCTCATAACCCGTATGCCTTCGACCACTCTCCCCGTGTTCGACTCTCCAATCGAATGTCTCGCCCAATCCAGAATGATAAATTTGAGCTGTTTGCAAGCTTCGTAAATTTCTGGAATGGCATCCGCATGCTGTAGCATTTGTTTGAACTCGGGAATCGCATTTTCGGGATCGATCTTCTTGGCTTTGCGCTTTGGATCTTGAGCGAGCAGAGCAGCAACGTCCAGGTCTGAAAGTGGTTTGGGTGCGTCTGTCCTCCCCCATCGCTTGCCTCTTGCTTTGGGTGGCACTTTCTTGACGCTGCCTGCTGCGATGACCTTGTCCAAGGCTGTTTTCGACTGCTCCACCAGATGTTCTGGAGGCTGCGAGTACTTTGTGATGATGTGATAAGGCTCGGGAGGTTCGTCATCAGGATAGACCGCTCGGTGTTTGATGGCTTGGGTGAGCTTGTGTATGACTGGATTGTAGGTATCATCCATCGCAGCGTACTCCGATTGCTCATCTGCGTCTTCAGTGTTGGCTTTCAACAAGTTCATGTTGTCCACATAGTCGCTCATCGCATCAAGCAGATCCTCCTCGGGGAGATTTCGATGTATTTTGAGCTGTTTACCACTGACCGTGAGAACTCTATCAAGAGGTGGAAACTTGTAATTGCGCACATCTTCATTGAATGGAAGCTCAGTGTCGTAGAGGCACTCAAAGTCAGACTCGATGTTAGGCGAAAGTACGATCAGCCTTGGCTGACTGTTGGCTCTCGGTACCATGCGAGCGATCGCGAAAGACTCAAGCTCGTATAGCGCGTGTATCAGCGAAGACAGTGCCATTGATGCTTTCTCGTCCGTCCTCTTTGCAATTATCATCTGCGATCGAGACATGTCCAAGTATCGATGATATTGGTTTCGATCGACAAACCCGAGTATTTCAAGGCCAGGTTTGGTCTCGAATGTGGTGACATTCTGATCGCTCTCGGAGATGTGCACTGCTGTTCTGCCGTATTCGTAGCCTTTCGACAGCTCGTCAGCTTCGACATCCTTCTTACCACCTGGAGCATTTTCATCGTCAACTTGATAAGATCGTGCTGTTCGTACCGCTGCCAAGCCGTCACCGCCTTCTGGAGCTTGTGCGCTGCCATTCGACAGGGTGGCAGAGCTCTGAGTTGGGTGTTGGACACCTTCGCGAACCACAAACTTGCTGGCGGAGGGTGGTGAAGCCCTCATGACTTTGATATATCTCTCTACTTCGATCGTCAGAGCATCATCGTACTGGTCTGGATTGCCAAGAGTCAAGATAGTTCTGGTAGGTGTGCCTTTGGTGACCTTTAATCGAGGAATTTGAAGCTCATCAATCGCCTGTGCTAAAGTCCCAAAAGCGCCGTCGCAGTCGTGACAGAATTGTTCTAGGATTGCCTCATTGCTCGCTTTGAGAGAGCCCTTGTCCTCCTCCTTAAAGCCGTACTCTGCATCGTCGAAGTCGACGCCTAGGATGACGAGCTCCATATCATCCTCTTTGATCTTCTTGGTGAAGTGAGACAAGTCATCCGTGTCCATCGATGATGAAGCGTCAGTGATCAGCACAATTTTGCGTTTATACTGCAGTTTCTTGCAGGTCTCGGCAATCATATGAATTGCCAGTGCGAGAGCAGAGACGGCATCACCAGAGTCTGTGTTGCTAACGGTGAGCTGGTCTCGCAGTCGGCGAATGTCGGTCATGGTAACTTGACTGATGGGTTTGAACACGCTGATATTGTTGTAACTGTCGTCATCGTCGGCCAGTTCGTTGTCTGTATCGTCTGTCCTGAGGCCAATGACGCCAGCCATGGCCAGCTTCCTGCCGGTCTGCACTGTCGTTGTGATGTTGTCCCAGAAGTATTCCAAGGCCCATTCGAGGTTGGTTTGGGTGCGGCCACGGGCTTTCCCGCCCATTGACCGGCCGACATCCATGATGTAGACGGTGGCCTCTTTATTGGCCATCGCGAAGGTCGGCAGCAGTGTGACTTTCCAAGTGGCGATGGTGCTGGCTACATGGCCGCGAGCAGCGACATGTTCTGGGAGCTGCGCCCTGGTCAGGCACCAGTCGCTTTGACGCGTAGCCTCGTGACTTTGACGGCACGTGAACAAGGCAACAAGGCAACAAGGCAGAAAGGCCTCCTAGCTTTCATGCCGCAGAAACGTCGTATGCTGCATTCACCACAAAATGCCTGGGTCACAGTCATTGCTCGATCCCAAGAGCTATCATGTGAGTAGACCGAAGAGTACCCTCTGCCTGCATGTGCATGTACCTCAGCTCCCATGCCTCAATCCACCGGCTTATACATATCCCTGAACGTCGACTTCCTCGCACCACTTGAGATGAGAATTCTGCTAATGCTTCTGTTGTTCACTTCAGATCCTCACATATGGCACATTGCTGGGTTCAAATCTATTCCAGACCTTCCTGGCCGGTCCTCTGGCCTTTAAAGCATTGCCACGACCATCTTTCAGCACCCTACAACAAGCCATATTTCCGCCATACTTCACATTCCAGACTGCTTTGCCACTAGTCCTTGCCTTGACATGGCCCGGTGAAAAGCTGGCTCAGGCAGGAGGCGCAGTTGCACGCAGGCATGCAGGCCCATATGGATTGCTTGAAGAGGAGAACAGGTGGATCGCGTTGCTGCCAATTGTGATAATGTTCGGCACGAGTCTGTTGAACCTGGTAGCGCTCGGTCCGGCTACGACAAAAGTTATGAAGGAGAGGAAGCATCAGGGTAATTAGCTCGTGCACACACTAAATTGGATGGCAGAGGCAACGATGCTGACGTGAGCAGAGACGCGAGATGGGAAGAGATACTACGAGCCTGGCCCCAAATCAGAGGCGATGCAGAAGCTGAACAAATCCTTCGCCTGGCTCCATGGAGCATCTTCTCTATCGAATGTCGTCGGTCTTGGTGCCATGCTGGTCTATGGCTTCACATTGGCGGAGAAGATCTGAGCCGCGCTGCAGATGTCACAGACGACTTGCTCGTATTATCTCTTCAAGGTTGCAACTGCACCCGATGACTTGGTTGCTGTGTTGCAAAGGATTCCGATGGTTACGCCCTCGACCGAGTATCACCATCAGCCGTCTTCAGTACCCCCGAGACAGCATTCAAGACATATAGACGTTGGAGCATCATGCAGATTGAGAAAGTGGTTGGCTTTGCAGGATGGAAGCCAAGCATTGCTCGTAAATAGCCCTTGGAGCTGAAGCGTTTGTGCAAACAGAAGACTTCCATATGGAAGGACCAATCGCTGACGACCATCAAAAGCAGCACGACCATTCACTCACTTTTAGCATTTCGACTCGCATGTCAAAGCAAAAATTTCAAGTCTCACCTCTACCACGATGATGGACGCTTTTTTGAGACTGCGAAGACGAGCATGTTCTACGCTCCAATTGCTGCAAAGCCTTAGGGGATGCATTGACTGCCCCAAAGTCATTCACATGCGTCACTCTTCAGAAAGGTCGTGAATGCGGTAGAAATCGTGTGTCGCCCTACAAATTGAGCTCATTTTGCAAAGACACTACAATAACTGGCCTGCATCACTGATCAAAGGCCTTGTTGCCCTCAGAGTGCTCTGCAGCCAAGCCATCCTTGTAATTGGAAACAACACTATTGTCCAGTGTTTCATCAAAAACATCGACTTCCGTAGTTGCGAACTTCCTTGCGCTGACATTTCTCTCGAACAACAAGTCCAGCTCGGCAAAAGTCCTGCCTCTTGGTTCAGGCACGCGGAAGAACGTGTAGATGCAGCACAGGAAGGCGATACCGGCCCAGAAGAATCCTGCGTAGTTGCCCCAATCCCAAGCGCTGGGATTGATCATGTATGGAGTCAGGACCGAGCAGATAATTCCGACGATAATGTATAGGTTGCGACCGAGGACTACGGTCTTGATCTGCAAGCGACGAGTCGAGATTTCGGCGACTAGAGAATAGCAGACAGTTCCGACCGTGAGTTGGTAGACCAAAGCCCAGGCAATCATGATGCTTCCAGTTGCGAGTCCGCCAGCCTTTCGATCATCAACGAGGCCGAGGAAACCCATAATGAGAAGCATTGTCGTGAGCCCGCAAAGCCCGTAGAGGTACAGAGAACGGCGACCAATACCGATCGACATCAGTCCCCAAGCACCGAAGACACCGACCATATTGATGGCGTACTGACCCATAGCAAAGTTGTATGAGTTGTCCTGACTGACACCGGCCTGTTCGAGGAAGTAGGTGGAATAGTTCGAGAAGGAGTTGCCTGCAAGGTTCTGCATTGCCCAACACATGCAAACGATCTCAGTGCGGCGAAGATCGGTCCCTCGGAAGCAGTCGAAGTAAGAAGCGCCGGTAGTAATATTCTCCTCGAGAGCGGTCGTGTGCGCCATCATGGCAATTGTCTCGTCTGCGTTGAAATCGGTCTCACGATTCTTGGATGTGAGGCGGAGCAGTGCCTTCTTTGCGTCTTCGAGACGTCCTCGACGCACCAGCCACCAAGGCGACTCTGGAGCGAGCGCGATGCCAACGAGAAGAGGCACTGGCCACATCCATTGCAGAGCGTACGGAATCCGGTATGCCCATTGATCGGTCCGGTGCAGCATCGATCTAATGACACCTATAGCGATCAATTGTCCAAGACCCCAGCACTATGTTCAATTCGTCAGCGTCTGCCTGAGAAGGAGGAGGAGGGAATCGATGATCGTTATACTTACCATGTTGACATATGTGGTCAGGTAGCCACGAAGAGCGACTGGACAGACTTCGGAAGCGTATGTGATTGTGAGAGTCTGGAAGACACCCCACGGAATACCGCAAAGAATCTCGCCTACGAGGAGGACTTTGACGTTCGGTGCCGTGAAGAAGATGGTGATGAACGCAATGATGAGGATCAGACATCCCATGACCGTCCTTCGATATCCGAAACGCTCGCTCACCCATCCGTTGATGAGGAGACCGATGAATTCTCCACAATTGGCGCCGTTGCTCAAACCTGCCTGCCAGGGCGCAGGAACCTGGCAATAATATCAGCGATGACCCGTGCCGCGCCAAAAGTTCCTCTCAATTACCTGGTGACTGCCATCGGCAGTAAGCACACCGTATTTCTCGTTGAACGTGTCGAAGGCGTAGAAGTTGTTGACCAGAGCAACCTGATAACCTTCCATAGCAATGCAAGTCGAGATAAGAACGCTCCATGCGATCGCCTTGGGATACAATCTGATGCCTTGGAGCAAGGTCATGTTGTGCTCGGCTTCAGAAGCTTTCTTCGCATCAATGGTCATTTGCTTCATGGTGTCGGTCATCTTCAACTCGCCCGAGGCAGGGAAGTGAAGAGGACCACCCTGTGCCTCCACACTGTCTTTCTTCTCATTGTGCGTAGAGTCACGCCGTTGGTCCGCCATGGTGGCTCACAAGCTTGCGATGCTTGTCCGACGTGGTTGCAAGCTGATGTGGTGAGGAGACAAATCCTGGAAGGAAGCCGAGCGAGAGAGACACACTGCCGATGTGTCTGTATTAAATACAACATGTGTGCACTAGGCCAGAGGTACACCCGGTGGCGTGTGCGCGGAATCTTCAGCACCATGCACTCGCCGACTTCAGCTCGCAGCAATCCGACCAGGGCAGCAAATGCAGAGGTTGCCATTGGCTGAATGGGAACAACAATGTTCCTCGGAGTAGGCACAGCACCAGACTCCTCACTTGCGAGGCTGCGAGCTCGCTCCGCACGATGCCCACGGGGTACTGCACGGAAAAAGATAGCGCCGCTGGTGTGCAAGATGGCCGGCCCGGCCCAGCCTCTTGGCACTTTCTTCTGATTGATCTGTTTGAGCCGGCAGTTGGCGCTACGCCTTCGCTTGACCACTTCCAGGCAGCCGACCGACTGTCAGCTGATACTCATCGGCGTTCGACTGGATTCCATGGCTGAACGTTTCGCCGAGTTCTCTCCCCGCGCGCCCACCGAGTGGCACAGAGGGCGAGTCGACTCGTGTCACCGCGTGTAACCCACGTGAAGACCAAGGATCAACCCACTTTTATGTATCTGGCTTTTGACTGCATTTCATCGAGTAATGCAATCAACCTGCAAGAGAACTCAGGTTGACAACCACATGCCGTCAAGACAACAAAGCGATGTGCGAAGGTGTTTCACCATTTTTCGAGTGAGGTCAGCGGACATAGAATTCAATGCTGCGGCAACGCTATCGAGATAACTCAAGGAGAAGACAGCAGCGAAGGTCATGTACAATTCAGCATCACTCAGGACGTGGAAGGAAGTACAGTAGAGATGGTAAGCGGTTGTCATCTGGGCAGCGCCAGTCACTCCTTGGGACATCTCTGTCAAATGTGTAAGACCTCGCTCAGCCGCGGGCAGTTCAAGCCTTTGCAAGTACTCGTGAAAGATTGTGGCGCGTCTTATCAGTATTACCAGCAAGGCTGAAGCGGATGAGATGTTGAGATGTGTCCTGGAGTTTGTGGCGAGAAGATTCATCGTGCTGGTCTTCTGTGAGAGCATCGATGGGCCCGAATTGCTGGCGAGTAGACTAATGTAGCGATTGGGGCTCCGACCATTGGCATGATGCAGTGAGTGTCAATCGAGAAGCTCAAGCTCTTGTGGCCAAGAGCTGCGTATGTCGTAGCGCCCCAAACTTCCCTTGTACAGGTCATGACGGCAGTCCGTATTGGCAGATTGCTGGGCACGGTGAGAGCCACGGAATGGCCGAAGACATGATTCGCGGAAGTGAGCACGCCGGCGACTGAACTCTCTGCGGCGCTGGCTTGTGATCGAGTCTGTCCGATGAGCCAGAGAAGATAACTATTATGCTGCGTGGGCAAGGAGGTTGTGCAAGAGCTGCAGTGGTGAGATTGGTGAGAAAAGCTCGAGGAGAAAGCTGGCTCGGCACACTTTCCCGATTCGGCCATTTGTTTACACTTCCAAACATACGCGACTTCCCGCACGTCCATCCATCCTCGAAGTGCAATTGCCATTGCTCAAGCATTTACAGCACACCGGCGACCGCAGCTTAGGAGATCGACTCCGACAGGCAGTCTTACACTGCAGACTTCAGCTGGCAGCATACTGGCGACATCTACGAGGCATAGCGGGAGCGAAATGTTGCGCATTCGGTCGAGCAGACCCAGCTCCTCATACGGTGACGGCGACGACAACGTCTTCACCACCGCGACCCAGACCAGCTTCCAGAACGCGAACGACATTCTACACTCCACTCCTCAGCAACAGCATACCGACGACGCGCACGCATTGCCGCTCCACTACAACCAGCATCCCCACATATACGACCAAGACACGCAGGGCAGTGCAGACATGTCAATCGAGCTGGGGCGCGGTGTGAAGAGAAGTGCACAGCAACAGGACCAAGACCTCTCCTCCAACGCCATCTTCAACGTTGGGAACGACAACAGCCAGCACGACTTTCTAGACACCCCCCCATCTCGTCCGCGCAACGCCCAGCGCAAGTCGGATGGCACCCTTCGCAAGGAGGCCTCGATCCGCCGCGCTACCGAGTCTGCCCGCGCTAATGATACCATGAAGCGATCGACCGCTGGAACACGACGAGCTGTGTCTGAGTCTCAAGCCAGGAAAGGCGCTGACGTAGAACCGGCGCAAGAGACTGCAACGGCAACGGTGATGGGAACGCGCTTTTCCCAGCGTGTGTCTTCATCCTACAACATTCCCACTCGCTACACTGCAACGATGGGCCTAGCTTCTGCGCACAGTACTCCAAGACGACAGGCTGCTGGAAATGCCACTGTCCAATCGACCACCAACTCTGTCAACCACTCTTTTATGCTCCCAGATGTTGCGAACATCACAGAATTAATATCTGGGCCAAGAGCGAATGGCACTCCATTGGTTCGGCAGACTGCTACTACGCGCTCCCGTTTCTTGTCGACATCATACAGGGGAGAGTCGCAGACACAGACTCATTGGCCTGTGACAGCAGTGGGCTTGCCGGAAGATGAAAAAGCCATTTTCGCTTCTCTCCAGATGCTGCATGATAGAGTCAATCAGCTCGAACAGGAGAAGAACGAGGCACAGAAGCACATTGAGGAATATGAGCGGGAGGTCATTGAGCTTCGGAGCCAACTGCAGGTAGTCGATGGCCGAGCAGACAGCGGACTTGGTTCTGAAGAAGACAACAGGGAAATGAACTTTGTTGCTGCACAGAAGGCTAAGCTCCAGGCCAAGCTCAAGGCTGCCGAAGACAGACTGGAGCGATCCGAGCGCAAGGCAAGCGTTTCTAACATAACCGTAACTCGTGTCACCAAGGAGCGGGATATCTTGCTCAGTCAGCTAGCGACAGCTTACTTCAAGAATGAAGTGCTCGAGGAGGAGAACGAGGCCTTTCGCGAGAGCCTCGGTGAGTTGCGAACTGCAAATGAAGACTTGAGAGCTCGGGTGCGAGAATTGGAGGATGAGAAGGCCCTACTGCGCACTGAACTTCCCTCGCAGAGCGCGTCAGACAAGCACGAGAAAGGTGCAGCCAGGCGTCGAACTTCATCGAAACAAATGAACGACAGACCCGACGATATTTCGGATGGCATAGATCTTGGCTACAAAGCATTCGGTGAAGAGCAGCCAAGGCGTCAATGTGAGCTCGACAGGACCGGTAGCAAAAACGATCAACTCGGAGAGACTATAGTGCAAGAGCTCGCCTCGCGAACGGAACAAGAGATACAAAAGCACAGAGATGCCCGAATGGCCGAACGAGCACAGAATAAAGCCCAGCGTCCGTCGACTGCGCGCTCACGGTCTCATTCACGGCGGAGAACGAGCTTGATTGAAACCGATGGTCTGCGTCGACAAACTCCAGCTCCTGTTGAGATAGAGCGAACAAAGTCGTTCTCTGTCGGAAATGATACCAGCACGCGAAAGTCTTCTCTTTCAACGAGGTTAACCGAGCAATTCGAACATGATCTCACAGTCCTGAGTGACCTGGATCCCCTCGATGTTGCGCGCTTACGGAGAAAGCTGGAGGAAGAACTGCAGGCAAAGCATTGTGGAATCAGCGAACAGGTCCGTGTCCATGAGGAGACTGCTGTTACTGGATACTCAACATCCCATCGCTCGCTTTCCCGAAAACCCTCGCTCAAAGACACCACAGCCACCGTAGGTCGTCTCGATCTTGGAGACGACTCAATCGACGACATTCTGAAAGTGACGAAATCCGTCCGCGTGCAATCGCCTCACACATCAGACGAGATCTCACATTCCGACGATCACACTGTGAACCTGGAACACATCTCATCTCTGAGCAATATCAGCCGCCGCAGGAGACGCACTGCTAGCGCAGACGGGATGACATCCGCCTTCATTCTACCCGATATCGACTTGAACACGAGCAGTTCGCTACCCACCAGCTCCAGAAGTAAATGTATTCAGCATCGAGCCAGCCAGTGTACCGCATGTGATCACGAGGATACTCAGGTCGACATTCCAACGCCGGTGCCAGTCACTGAGCGCGAAGACATAGCTGACACGACCAATGCTACTGTCAGACCATCGCAACCTCCCGCTGAAGCACTTGCAAAGGTCATCAAGAATCTTGAGGATGAGATCAAGCACCTCAAGCTCAGACGCGATGCCAAGAATCGCATCTACAATCAGCATGAACCAGCGCTGGCGAGACGAAAGCGAGTTGCTGTCAAAGAATCGATTGATGCTCTGACTGCAGAAATTGAGAGAAAGAGTGACCAGGTCTATGCACTGTACGACGTTCTCGAGGGTCAGAGGGACTCCACGTCAGGCAAGGGAGACCCTGAAGTGAAGGATATCGATGTTGAAGAGACTCTGCAGAGCCTTGCCATTGATCCGGCGGATCTTTCTGGGAGAGTGGGAAGAAAGGCTCCAGTAGGTCTGGATGGCCTGGATGATCTGAGTGATGACAGCGAGTTGCCATTCGAGGGGTTTAGCGAGGTGGAAAGCGAGGTAGGGGGAAACAAGTGAGAGAAAGTATAAATTGTTAGCGTTTCTGTACTGCATCGTTAGAGCCATGAGTCTGGGGTTGCCTATCATATTGGAAACGGTCAATGACGACGCAATAGATAACGCGAGGTCGAGATGCCTTTTGCTTGATTACTTTGACTCTCGGCTTCTGGCCGGTCGAGCTGGTAGTCTAGTGACGGCTATGCTCCTTCGTCGTCGGAATTTCGTATCCCTTCATAATGCTGGTCATGCTTCAAGTCTATTTTATCCCCAACGCCACGCTTTATCGCTCCTTAATCCTTAATCTGTGAAAGAAGAGGCCACCGAAATCATGCAGCCGTTTTCGAAGGCGTTTTGGTCGTCGATCGCCTCTTGATGCTGAAGAGATTCTTCAGCTTCCTCAATCTGGATTCACGCTCCTGGTCTTGCTGAATAATCTCTTCCCTAGAGAGAATACGCGCAGACTCGGGCGTCTCATCTTGAGCGACCTCCGCAGGCTCGTGTTCTTGAGATCTCCGTCGATGATCTCGCGCGCAAGTCGAAACCACTCTATGCAAGATCTGAATGGCGTGGAGCCCGCTCAAACTGCCGCTGGCTTTTTGCGTTGTCGGATTGCGCCACGGGCAGTGGTCGCGGTGTAGCTCCACCAGGTCGATGATTGCAAAATTCTCGCTGTTTACCTCGTCCTCGTTGTTGCTTCGCCTCGAACTCCGATAGTCAGGTTGATACATCCACAGGCCGATGCGTTGAAAGCAGGCGTCGCACTCTAGCAGTTCGTTTTCGTTGGAGCCTCGCCAGCCATGCATAGCGATCGTGAAAGCTCTTTCTGCGTCTGAATTCGCCGCGTTGTCTTCAAGAATGGTCGTGGGGAGATCTTTCAGCACCTTTGCAGAAGAATCGTCAAAAGACCTGATCTTGACTTTGCTAATGGAGCTGCCAATATCGCGCAGTGAGCGAAAGCGCTTTCTCAACTCTGGTTGCCATATCGATGGTCGGACCACAGGCAGACGATAAATGTCATCCTTGCATCCAGCCTTGTGCCATAAACATGAAGTCGAGTGTCCTTCCACGATTTCCTCTCTGTACCGGTCTGCCAATGCTTCTTCCAGAGCTTCCGCTTCTGCGTCGTCATCCTCGTCACTTTCTTCCTCTGCCTCCATGGAGTTCCTGGCCTTCCGATCGATCTCCATGCTGACCACGAGCCTATGTTCACAGCCACCCTTGCACGCCACAGTATTGACATCGACACAAACCCAGCCGCGTTTCGCCCACTCCACCTCCCCAATCGGATCTGGTTTGGGATGCCATTGACTCACGCTACTAAAAGTCTTCAGCCGTGCGAGGAAGGTGTCCTGCGACCAAGGCGAGAATTGAGGCGGGGGCTTTGACAGATCGCGGCTGCTGTGGTTGGGAAGCTTTCGTGGCAGTGAGATAACAGACGCGCTCGTGCTATCTAGAGATGTTGCAGAAGCGCTGTGCCGCAATCGCTTTCTGGCACGTTCCCGAGCCTCGTCAAAAGCTGCAGCGGCATTGGAAGTACGTTTCTTGCTTGATGTCGACGCATCATGAGCGGGTAGAGCTGCAGTCGAAGTCAAGGCGTCGAGTGCTTTGTAGAATTTGCGCTTCGTGGTCGCAATCGCTTCAGGCATTTTCACAAGTCGTGGCGTGGTGCATAGTAAATGTCATGTCACACATGTCGTTGTGTCGGAAACAAAGAAGCTCGAGACTCAGCTGGTTGGCGGCTATCTCGAGATCAGACGAAAATGGGATTGCATAAAGCACAGGCGATTATTAAAAAGAATTATACACAAAATTCTTTTCTATAACAACAGAATAACAAAGAGAATTACTATAATAATAATGCCTAGACGTATGATACAAAGTATATAGAATCTAACTACGATATAAAAAATAATATATCTTTAATCTAAAGATTTAAGAGTATATATTCTAATATTTAAATCTTATAACTACTAAAGCCATTTTTAGTCTATAGAACTCCAACTAAAAGTCTTAATATTTGCAAATAGGAGTAATAATAATTGTTTATTTCTTCTAGTAATATATATTAAATCCTAATATATTTAGATAAGATAAGCAGTAAGAAGTATTATCTATTCCGTACGCTGTTACATGTACAGTATAAGCTACTGCCTAGGCTATTATACTAATCATCTTGAGTAGTCAACAGGTCTGAGTAGGAGATAGGGTTGGCGGAGTGAATGAACGGCGACGCGAATCTCACGCCAAAGCACGCGCAGCCGAGGTCATCACACATGACATAACATGACATGGAGATGGAAGTGGGAGATGGAAAGGGTACTGTTATTGTGTACTCCCTACCGACTCAACATCCTTTGCAATGCACATCAATACCCTGGAGTCTACTCGACGCTGCTGCTGCGAAGTCCGAACGGGGCGCAGCTGCTGTAGAATCGCTCCTGCTGCGGATCCCCCAGCCGGTAGACAACCATCAATATTGCCAGGGAATTCGTGGCATGCAACACACGCTGAGCACTGCATCTGACTTGAAACAAGATGTCCTTTCGAAAGCCTACATCGCTGTCCATACACATTGTTGGCGAAACTTGCCGCACACTCCTGTCTCCAGCATTGTCACATTCACATTCTTGTGCTCTCACAAGCTGATGTAACTACCATTCACACGCCATGGCAGAGATGATCGAATCGCAAGGCCGTGGCGAGGGCGCAACACAACACATACGCTTAGCATGCCAGGCCTGCCAACGGAAGAAGATCAAGTAGGTGAGATCTCAGTCCAATGGCACAGAATTTGCGGACCTTGCTGATTAACTCCCGTAGATGTGATAGAATTTTCCCATGTGGTCAATGTCTTCGATCAAGCCTTGTTTGCGAAGCGTCGACAAGAAAGCCACGAGTGCGTCATCCTGGGAAGCGTGCAGTGGACTCAGAATTGCGGAATCGCATAACGAAGCTTGAGAGCCTGGTCGAAAGCCTCAGCGGCGAAGTAGGACTAGTTGACATGGACGCTGTTGCTCCGCCTAGAACTCCTCATGTGGCTACCAGTACCCATGGCTCACCGGTCGTGGAAGATAGCAGTCCGTTCTGGTCTACTTTGACGAACGAGGTCCAAGCTCTGCGGGACGCACTTGACGAGGATGGATCCGACGATGAGGCGGCTTCGTTGCCTGAAGCACAAGGTGGACTCCAACGGACCGACGACTATACGCTGACACATGACCTAATGATCTGTCCCCCTGGTGCAATATACGTGATACCAGGAGCTTTACCTGAGCCGGCGTCTCTGATGGCCGAAGAGCTGTACAGAATTTATCTCACCAACGTTGACCCCGTCTTCAAGCTTCTTCATAGACCCACTGTGGAATCATTCTTGTACCACGACATGCCGTATTGTGGACGGCCTGCCAACTCTGCACCGAATCGGGCGCTCAAGACAGCAATATGGTTCGCAGCAGTGACAACGCTTCGAGATGATGAATGTGCAGCTCGTTTCAGCACTGCCCGGTCAGAACTTCTTCGATTGTATCGAAGACATTGTGATGCAGCCCTGACTTTGGCCGATGTGATGGTAACAACAGATTTGGCAACGCTACAGGCACGTTGCCGCTTCTCGCATTACAGATTCTAGCCGGCGTCCGTGGACAATGACCGGCTTAATCATGAGGCTTGCGCAAGGCTTGAATCTTCATCACGAGAACGCTAGCCACACCCCGTTTGAGCAAGAGATGAGAAGACGACTGTGGCACCAAATCCGAGTGCTTGACGCGTTTGCAGCATCGGACAGGGGAACTGAAGTCCTCATCCCACCCACATCATTTACCACGGCTCTGCCAAACAACGTCTACGAGGACGACTTTGACGCGAACTCCCCCTACATCCCTGATGGAGAGACAGGCATGAGCGATATGAGCTTCAATTTGATGGCTCATCTGGCCACTAGAGTGACTATGCAGCTTCTTGCGCCGGAGCATACTCCCAAAGGCGAGACATGGCAACAACGGCTCGAATTAGCTCGCAATCTGGGCAACGAGCTGCGCGAAAAGTATTTGCTATTCTGCGACCTTTCAAAGCCTTTTCATAGGTTCATCCACGCCGTTGGCACCTCCATGGCTGCTTCGAGCATGCTGAGAGCGGTGAGACCGCTGCAAAAACACATATCCAGTAAGTAAACTCTATGGCATCTCTGTACCCTCAGATATAGGAATTCCTTTCTGCTGAAAGGAGTACGTGATTGTAAGAGGATTTTGTGAGCCTGCCGTCGTTTCAAAGTTGCCAGCAAACCATCGCGATCATTCATCGCTGACGTTGTACCAGGCATACCACCAAGAGCCGATAGCCCTCTCGTCCTTGAGCTGGCTGTAGATAGCCTACGGGCAAGTGAAGCTACATATGACGATCCAGAGGCTGGAAAATGGCGATGGATGGTCTGGGTGCAATGGCACGCTCTCGCTGTTGCCTTGGCAGGACTCTGCTCTGTCCGCGACACTCCACTCGCCAAGACGGCATGGCTTTATGTCGAGAAAGCGTACGATCGCCATTCAAAGCAAGTCGCTGATTCACGCAATGGCAAACTGTGGCGGCCGGTCGAAAAGCTTTATAGAAAGGCCAGTGCGTTCCGCGACGGCATCTCAGAATCAGCCATCAAGACCCACAAGAAAAGTACAAGCCTGCCGAAAGTACCACAGCCAGAAGTGGATGTGTCGAGTCTGTCTCTAGATAATGCCATGATGCCTGACACGATCGCGTCACACCTAGCCAATCTGCAGCCTTTGCATGTGCAGAACCACAGCACGACGACCACCGAATCTGTGAATGCCGAGATGGATACGCAATGGCCTGCTATGCCATCGCAAGGCGCCGACCTCCAATGGATGGATTGGGAGAACATCATGCAAGAGATTTCGACGGTGTCAGGAGGGATGGATTTGAACGAGTTCGAGGTGCCCCAAAATTTGGACTTGATGCAGAACACCAATAGTTTGCCCGAGCCGCGTGAGTGGCCATTCTCGTTGTATCAGAATATGATGTAAAATGCACTCGACCGGACGGCTTATGATAGGTCGCGATCTATGCACTTTCTACAATAAAACATCTAGCTTCAATCTGCAAGCGTCATGCTCTGCCACCACTTTCGATTTTGATCTAACCGTGCATATACGTCTCATTTCGACTGCTCCGCACGAGAGTATCTATAGCTCAGCTTTGATAGCATCTCCATAGTCCATGTATCTTGCCACTTTGCCTCCTCCCACTTTATCTTTCGCGGGCACATCCAGCACAAGCCCCCAAAAGTGCCTTCGGGCTCAGCTAATCTTCGCGTTGCTGAAGTCCATCTCGGGGTGCTGCTCCTGAAACTTTTTCAGCATGTCCAATTTCTTTTGCTCGTCGCTCGTAGGCTTTCCCGCCTCCTTCTGTCGCTGATCGTACATCATCTTCTCAACCATCGACCGCGTCTCGCCATCCAGGTCACTCAGCTTGGAGTTCTCAGGCGTAATCTTAGATGTATCAATCTTGGGCGCGGAAGTAACGACGTGTGCCCACCATTCCATTTTGTTCTGTTTGTCGAGATGGATGGAGAGCTCTTTGCCGGTCTTGACTGATTCGAGCGTCCAGGTAGAATCATCAACGACAATGGCGTGTGGGAGGGTACCCTGGAATGTAGGTCAGCATCTGTCTGCCGAGAATGAGTACGAAGAGAGACTCATACATCGATAATGGGCTCTTGGCCTTTGATGCCAGCCTTCAGGCTGGTCTTCGTGATCTTCACATCCAGATCTTTGCCCTTGATGTTGGCTGGCACAATGGCCGTCAGATCAAGGTCACCGATAGTCTGTGTCCATTTGTACGGTAGCTTGCTCTGCTCCTCTTCCTCCTTGACCTTTGCCTCCTTGTCCAAACGGTCTCGCTCCTCAGGCGTCGGCGATGCTGGTCGCTCGTTTTCTGCCATCTTGAGTTGTGGAGAGTTCATGTTCATGCGAACAAGTGCGGAACAACCCCGCTGCTCACGGCTCACGGACCGGCTGCAAGGGTCGTCACCTGGCAATCGCTGCTCAGCATGGCTGCCGAACGTGAAACCCTACTGTATCTATCATGACCTCAATCACTGGCCCCAACACATGGAGATAGCAAGCGTGATCGTATGTGCTTTCCTAAAGACAGGCCGGCGAACTCTCCCAAGAAACATTCGGCATGGAGATTCGAGCAGTGAGGCGCTTACTGGGTTTCTCGGGTTACGTGAGAATGCCAAGAATAGCAGAGCCTCAGCGCCTCCCCATGTATTTTACTAGGTAGAATGCTCCTCTTATGCTTGAATAGACCTTATATCGTATCCCTACACCGCTAGAAGATGATAGTTATACAGCTGCCGCCCGAGCTAGCAGGTGTGGTATTTCTTTACGGTGCTAGTTACCTCCTAAAGTAGTATTTCGAGATGCCGCGAGGCTAGTCACCTACCGAAGACGCGAAGCGTATAAGTCGATCGAGAAAGCCAGTCGAGAAGGAGTTGCCGGCGTATAAGGATGCTGTCGACAGACGCGAGTCGTCGCCTAAGAAGGCCGCAAAAGTAAGGAAGGGCGTAACGAAGAAGAAGACCGTAGCGTAGGCGCTTCGAGAGTTGATAGACTCGCTAGCAAACGATGCTAATGCTTACCGGCGCTTCGCGTAGTAGCAGAAGGATAATAAGGACGCCTTAACGGCGGTAGATGTTAATATAAGCGGACAAGTTAATAAAGGTAAGTTAACGCGGATAGGCAAGGCTTTACCTAGAAGAAAGCAGTTAGCGCTACGGCTACGGCAACGTAAAATTAATAGTGTTTAGATAGATAAGGACGATATAGAGACTGAATCTAGCGATGAGCGTAATATCTTCTAATACAAGCAAACCTAGCGCCTATATACCGGCAAAACCCTCGTCTTATCGTTTAACGAGGATCGCACTAGCTAGTCTACTCGCTTCGGTAATAATGCTTATCGCTAGGCCGTCGATAAGGCGCAGAAGAAGGGGTTGTTTGTTAGTAACCGCTTTGTCGTTGCTACTACTAAAACAGTAACGAAGAAGAGCGAGTTTAGAGAAAACTTTAACTTAGGTAGGTAACTGCTTATAGCGGCTAGATTCTTAGCTAATACTGCCTTAGCGGATATATACGAGAAAGGCCTTAAAGCCGCATTTGAGTATAGAAACGATCCGAAGAATGTTAGCACTATCCGCATAGATATAGAGTTCTTTACTATAGCTAAAGACTCGCCTCCTATCGCTCTACCGAAGTCTAAGCTGAAGCCTAACGACTAGCAACTTATCGAGAGTAATGCTTTTATTGCTAAGAAGCGTACAACTAGAGGTAATCGAACAGCTAAGATTAAAGCCGACAATATATACCTTATAGTAGGCTGTCCTAATATTAATAAATAGTACTATCTTCCGCCTAACTTGCCGGACACCTAGAGGCATTATTTATAGCTTAGCAACTACTCTTTCAAGCTCTAGAGCGAAGCCTATATCGCTAGCGAAGAAGGCGTTATATTAAAGAACCCGCCTTAGAAGGCTATTAATTAGATGAAGTTGTTTACTAAGAACAAACGAGACAAGCCGAAGAAGGAGCCTACTTTACTATAGCCTCTAAATCTATATACTCCTTATCGCGGTATACCTATACCTCCGGTTGATCACTCTAAGCTTCTTAAGACAGTATTTAGCCTCGCTACTAGCTTTGCTAATTAACAGTATATCTAGCTAGGTTCAAGCTTAACTTTAGCTTCTTAGTCTTAGTCTCAACCTTAGTAAGAATCACCTGTTCTAACTAGAGTTGCTGCTATACTTAGTACGCCGCTACGAAGTCTTCTACGACAGTTCTTTAAGTAGGCAGCAAAGCAACCGGAATAGTTAGAAGCAGAAGACAGTAAGTAGCTTGTTAAGATAGAAGATTACTTTATAAAGGAACGATATAATTGTAATTAGATATATACGCTGTCGATAAAGATGTAGAAGGAGCTAGGCTTCTTTAAAGGCGACTATAGCTTTATAAGAGACAGCCTGAAGCGCTTTTAGAAGTAGAAATTAGCTAAGAGGAGCGGTTAGCTTGCAAGGCGATTACGACATTTATAATAGAGAAATGGCTGCTTTTATTAGGCGAGATTAAGTAATAGTTTACTACCAAATTGATGACTTAACGGCCTAATTTATCCTCCGCTAGATATGCTATAATCGCCGTTGTCGCTGTTAAGATCTCCGCTGAAATTTCCGGAAGTACGCAGTATATACAAAGCGGGACTATCCGCTTTACGCCTAGTAGCCTCCCTTACGTTCTTATACTACTACATTGCAATATTATAATAAGAAAATTGACACGGAGCTTTAGATGTATATTCTTAAGGAGCTTGTCAATTTTTATAATATATTATAGACGTAGTGTAGTGCTATACTAGTAGAGTGTCGAAGCTAAGTAATATATTATCTAGCTCAACTCTATTAACGTTGTAACCGCTATGTTCAAAGAGTTTACGCACATCTATGCCAGCAATATAGTCTAGTGCCTATACAAGAAAGTTAGCAAAGTTAGCGTATTCCTTCTATCGGTCCTTGTTCTTCTTTATCCACATTTTAAGTACGTTAAAGGTCTATTCGATTAGATTGAGATCTAGTAAGTATAGCGGCAAATACTCGAGTCTGTAGCTAGCTAAAGTAACAATATCTTCTACGTTGTCGCTATAGTAGATTAAGTAGTTATCTATAACAAAGATTATATTACGACCTTTAAGAAGAGGTAAAACCTCATTCTCGAGCTAGTTATCGAATGTAACTTAATCTACGGCTCCTTCTATATACAGAGTGCAAGGTAGGTATCTATTAATAGTTAGAGCCGGTAATACTAACATCCTCTTCTGTCGCTGCGCATACTAGAAGTCGTAGCAATCTATACCCTTTAGAGACTATCTATATTTGCGGTATACAGTCTTCTTATTTAAAGCAGTCTTATCTATAAACACTAACTTCTCGATAGGCTAATCTTTATACTTCTCGCTCTAGACCGCCCTATTCTTTGTATTGCGCTCTAAGGCGATCTTGCGCGAGGCTTTACGGCTCTAGTTTATTACCTTCGTAAGGGTGCGGTAGATAGTCTTTAGCGACACTATTATACCGAAGTTGTCGTATAGCTCGTAAGCTATTTCTTCGAGGTATGCCTCCGGTCGATTAGTTAAGTATTCTTCTAGCTACTAGCGCTTACAACTTAGCAGAAACATTAACTTTCTATTAGTTTACTTACCTTACGTATCTCCGCCGTTATCGCTAATTGCGGACCCGATTTGCCTCGAATTAGGCAGTAACACTCGCTAAATAAGTCATAATTTACACGCTATCGATATAGCGTCGAAACCGCGACTCCGGACTTCTTATAGATATCCTGAATGCTGAATCCGCCCTCGAATAGCTGCTTTACCTTTACCTTAGTCGCTAGCGGCATTTTAGTACTATAACCATTACGACGCGCCGGCGGCGCCTTACCTTGCGACTTCCTACGTATCACTATTGCTACAAGAGATGGACAAACAACACCTCAGAGGGCTCTATACCATTAAAAATGCGACAACACGGTATATTGAGAAATGGCGGTGCGCGGCTCTGCGGAGGCTTGGCATTCTCACGTAACCCGAGAAACCCAGTAGCTAAGCTGAAGGAAGCTTGGAAAGACACAGTCGAGTCGAGGTCTGGAATCTGGATGTCGTAGCTTCGGAGTCAATCCTTGAGCAGTCGGATACAAGTCAAGCAGAGCTACGCTGCTCTCTTTGTGCATTGGCCTCGGCCATATGGCGCGAGGAGCCTCAGTTGATCCCTGGAGATAAGACGTACCCGACCCCACTTGCGCCTCGCTCCCCAGGTAGAAGAGGGGCAAGAGTTTACCTGGAGGTGAATATAAATATTTCGTTGTCCATGTCGACACTTTGCTAACACAGGACAATAAACATTCTGACCCTTGTTTTACAACGTAGGTATGTTGGTCCGTGTCGTAGGCTTGTCTTGATGCAACTAACGTCCATGCAGTCCGAAGCAAATCCCAAGACCAGCAGCAAAGCACAAACCGCTGTACAACATGGCAAGTGTCACAGTCGTTTACCCCGCCGGGGGCACTTTCAACATGGACTACTACAAGTCGACACACATGCCGCTTGTGCAGGAGAAATGGGCAAAGTACGGATTGAAGTCATGGAAAGTTGTCAAGTTCCCAGACGACTCTCCGTACTCGGTACAAGCGACCCTTGAATGGGACAATATCAAGCAGTTCCAAGATGCGGCCAGCGGACCAGAAGCAAAGGATGTTCTTGGAGATGTGCCAAACTTTTCGAACAAGGACCCGGTCATCATGGCTGGCGAGGTTGTTCTCACTTCCTAGAGAGAGGGTCTGGGGTACGGAAGTGGCAGCGGGATTGAACGAAGACCTCGTTGGTCGGAACAATTGTGTCAATGGCTTAAGATGGGCTGATATTCAAGGAATTGATCGCTCTCAATTATTGAACTACTACCCACATTCACAACCTAGAACCTTTCATGACGTGCGTACCTCCCGGCTGCTTTGACACAAAACTGTCGTCTACTTCACGCCACGTCGATGTTGATGTTGCGAGATCGTTTTCCAGCAATTTGACAAGTTTTTCACTATCACCGATTAGTGTCAAGCAACTAATGCGAATGTGAAAGAGTCGCAGACTCACACAACCGCGGTGTGTTGCGATGTCACACTGTGAGCATGCGCAGCTTCCTCGTTTTTGCATCGACCGAATAACAGAATCTCCTTTGGTGCTTTGGGTCGTATGAACAATGCGTACGTGAGAATCTCTGGTTCTTGGGCCCTCACAAACGGGACAAAATCGTCGAAGACTTTGAGCACCTTATCCCTATCTTTGCAGACCAGTTTGGTCAAGAAGATCAGGCAGCCGCCGAACGGGGTGCCATGCTGTTCTCGTGCGAGAAAGCCACCCGTTTGGTACCAAGCTACCTAGCAGAAGTCTCAACAACAACTCTTGTCTCACATTCAATCACTCTTTAGATGGACTTACAAGTTCTTCATCCTTCGCATACAAGTCCTCGGCTTTGACAGTCTGATGATATGCTTGGAAATACTCCGGATCATCAACCTGTGCTTGCAAAGCAGACTTTCTATCATAGATCTCCAGACCTGCTATAACCAGACCACGATCTACTCTCGGCGGTGAGGGCGTGAAATAGCACCACGTCGAGCAATGTGCTTCAGGCTTTCGATAGTACTCTCGCGCCGCTCTTCTCAACAGCTCGAGAACCTATTTCCGCATCAGCAAGTACTATCGTCGACACAAGCAAGAGGCCATTGCACTCGTTCCCTCTTCTGCGCACTCTTCGGATAAAGGTGGCAAAGAAGCGCAATCCCGTTGCTGGACATGTCCGGCATCTGACACAGTGAGTTCTCACTTTTGTCTGGTTCGTGATGTTGATAGTTTGGTCTTGTACACAAGGAGTTCGTCTGGGGCCCCGCATTCAGGCCAAGGAGACCGAGTTTACCCGAAATGCTGTTGAACAGTGAGATATCAAGGAACTCGCTGTTCTGTGGCTGATGGCTTGAGGAATTGGACAGTAAAATTGAGAATAATCTGAATAGGTTGATTATCCGCACATCGACATTCTGCAATACGAGTTGATCGGAAATGAAACTGCCGCTGAAACCGTTGGCAAGTCGTCCAGTTTCTCCAACACGTCATCTGCCTTGGTGAGTTAAAGCTACATTCAGGATAAGGGTATTGAAGATGCAAATTCGTCCAGTAGCCCCTTGAGCAAATTCAAAACAGTGAGATCAAGCACGTCCATGCATTATTCACCCAAACGCCAGACAACTGCTCTCTGTGTTATTCGCAACGTTGTCTCCGGCGCCAAACGCCACAGCATTAAGCTTTTCGCTCAAAGCCCACTGCTGCAAGGCATGAGAAGCGTCGTAATGTTGATTCCAGTGCCGACTCGCATGCCGGCCTGTCCTGTTTGGAAAAAGAAATGTTGCGCTAGTTGGCCTCGACTTCAGCAATGCCTCGTTTCTCATCAATTGGCTTCTTGGGCCTGAAGATGGCGTCCTGCCCTGACATCCTCCTCGAAAGCGCCCTCTCCACCTTTGCCCCGAGCGCGATCTTGCCGACTTCTTCGGTCTTGTTGCTGCTCATGACGAATCGTTGCTTGTCAAGACGCGTATCGTTCATCTTATCGAGGACGTTGGCAAAGGACTTGATCTCGGCTGTGTTAGGGTCGGTAGAGGAGAGCGTCAGAGAGCTGGACGCGGCGTTTGGATCGGCAGTACCGTAGATTAAACGGCCTTTCTCTGGAATGGCCTGCGGCATGAGGAATGTTTGTTCGCTGAGGCGTGAATTGTACTGCTGCGTGGCGCTGGAGGATCTGTTGGAGTTGGTGTCCGTAGGCGCAAGAGATGGCTGGAGTGATGGTGCACCAGAGTAGGTGCTGAAGCGAGCGTCGTTGCGAGCCTGTATAGCCATAGTTAATATGGAATGGCGGTCAGCGTGGCATAGGATAATGCGTGCAACATACCATACTGGTCGCTTGAGGAGTGTTGCAGCGAGGACTTCGTTGTTGGCGCACAAAGGAACGGCCTGCGCAGGTAGGTAGGTAAAGCTTCACTCTCGCACGTCAGAGGGGATCGGACATATCACCCTCGTCGTCTATATAGGCTTAGTAAGACAACTCTATAACTAGCCTATAGCCTGAGCTGGTGCGGACTAGACTTAGAAAGAATATACCTTACTTTCAATCTAGCTTGAATATAATTAATAGATAGAAACAATAAAAATTAGCAGTAGGTCTATTTATAAGTACTAAAAAATCTAAAAGAATTTTTTAATTTGTAGCTTAAAGTCTAAAGCAGGCCTTCTATTTTCTTTTTATATTCTAAGTCTAAAACCACTAGATTTCAACTTCTATAGCTTAGATTTAACTAGACTCTAGTACTACTATACTAGAGTTAGTAACCTAGTATAAACTGTATAATAAACACAATTCTAACTAGTAGAACTATCCCTAATTACTTAGTATTAACTAAATACTAATACTAGTAAAGTCCTATAGTTTAAATATAAATTTAGATACAGTTTAAAAACTTAAATTAAAATCTCTTTATAGTATAGTTTAATTAATAGAGTAATAGTGCCTAGAACTTAATTTTTTAGAGGTTTACTAAAGCTAGTAGATGCTATAGTAATAGTAGCTATTATTATAATTAGTGTATAAGGATACGACTTAAGGTCTGTAAGAGCAAAGAGGAGTAAGTTCCATATTAGTAAATTTGAAGGTCGTACTGCGGCGTTACCACGCTTGGCATTCTACGGTAAAACGCCAAAGGCAGCAGTGGGCTGAAACGAAGCAAGACCGCATTGTCCTCCCTTGCACTCTGGCAGACCATATTTCCATTCTCTTTGAAGCTTCTGAGAACACCTGCAGCAAGTAGTGTTGACCTTGCGAGATCCATCAGCTCGATATCTTCTAGAGGCGTCACGACGCTAGCAAGGGATTCGCCATTCTCCCCCTTCTTTTCTGAGACTTTCTCACACCTTCTCACTGTGAAAGACAGTGAGCAAACACTCAGACAGTATAGAAGATACTAAAGGCCTATGGATAGCGTAGTTGGACACATCACCGGATCTAGTTGTTAGTTCACACACAGTTCCAACAACTTTAAGTAATCCCCTACTCATAGGCACAACTTTGATACCATTCCTCGCAACTTTACGGTGCCCTGCTTTTGCTCCTAGAGATCAGCTGATTTGATCGGAATGTGTACCAGACTGGGCGCCAGCATTGGCAGCGCTGCCAAATGCTCACGCTTCTGTGTTCGTGTTGATATTGGAGCGGCTTGCGCCAACAGCTTCCTGGGATCTGCATATTCTATCAAGTCTGCTGACCAGGCAAGGCTTGACGGTAGTTCTCATTATTTCCAAGAGGTGCTCGATGCAGGAGAATCGGTGCGTTTGTGATGCGAGGCAGCCTATATTGCGCAATATGTTGAATAAATCCTCAGTAGAAGATACATGAACGATGTCTCTGGGTATGAGGCCTCGGTGGTTGCTGTGCAAGGTGCAGCTGAGCTTGTTTGGAATGCAGAGGTCGATGCTCTGTACGCTCTGCTCTGTACATGTAACGATGTACCTCGTCCAACGTCCAACGTACTTACTATCCTGCTCCGGCCCTATGATACTGACGAGCCGTCAGAGTGCCTGCGCTGCCTTCTGTTGATTGTTGTCTTTAAAGCAGCGACTCCGGATGACCCCAGCTATCTCTGCCCGCTCCACATCGTAGCGACGAAAACCCCGCCACTGTTGTCCAAGGACCTCGTCTTACATATAGCCTCAAAGAGCGAATACCCATCATCTGCAAGAACAGCACGCCCCCTACCAAATATCGATCGTCCTCCAACCCTCGCACGCCACCAACAGCTCATCTTTGCATGGCGGATTTGACAGACATCTGTGCACAAATGCGGCTCTGATAACGCATGCCAAAGCCGAGGACAGCGTCAGGTCGAGCTGCATCAATCAAGTGAAAGAGTAGCAAGTGTAGTGGCAACAGAGGCGGAAGTCTACGTATTGACGGACGTAAATCCATTCTAGTTGCAACCTCTGCATGACGCCTGTGTGACAACCTGCGATCAAAGCGGTGACGCTTGGGTGAGGCGATGAGTTCCACTGCGAGCCCAACACTGCAGGAAAGGAAGGGTGCGAACGTACCTCCGGCGCGAGCGATACAGTCTGTCCCTACCACCTTCTTCTTGAGAACGGAGAGGGAGATAGAACAGAAATCACAGAGAGGACGAAGGACGTCACGGAGCTCTAGTGAACAAGCGGTCGACGCGAGCACGATGGCGGAAGATAGCACTTTTGGAGTTGAGAGCCTGGAAAAGACGATTGCCTCTATTTTTGCTTCGGATGCGACTCTGTCGAGGACATCCAGCAATAGCAGCAGCCACGCCGTAGATGCCCAGCTGGACACAGGCAAAAGACGCAAGAATGGAAGGCGCGTACACCCAAGCATAATTGCAACTGGGCATCGAATTCTCTCGTCAGATCGGGGTTCGTCGCTCGCATCACCGCTTCAAGCTGGCTCGCCACCGCGAGACCAATCCGCACGGAGAACATCAGGCACTTCGCTTGCCAGCATGAGCCAGCCTTTGACGCCGCTTAGGCTCAGCCCTCGACCGGAATCTACCTTACCGAGCGAGACTCGTTCCGGCTCGCCAAAATCTTTGCGACTTAGCGACGAGGAAAGCAGCATAGCAGATGAAGGTCATAGTCAAGCTGTTCTTTCCTCTAGTGGTGACGACGAAGAGTACAATCTGCGCGTGCAAAACATGCCCCAGTTGGTTATGCCTAGCCTCGCTATGCCCATAAGAAGGCCGTTCACGGAACTCGGTCGCAGGATGGGTAGGGCGAGGATACTCGTTGTAGGCCCCAAGCAAGTGGGCAAGTCTTCCTTCATCCAGAGTCTCTTTCGAACATGCGAACACATCGTACACATCGACCAGCTCTCACCGAGCATACCCAGTCAATCGTCATTCGCTTCCGAAATCTCCCATTATGTTCCAACCACAGCATACATGGAGATCCAAGCTTCAACAAGGCCATACCCGACATGGTGGACAGATGTTGAGACCAGGCGCTTGCTGCTCCGAAGAGGCAGTGTCGGCGATGGTGTCCTTGACCGAAATTTGACGTTCATAGACACGCCTGGTATCGAAGATGACTCGCAAGTACAATCGATACGCAACCAGGTCACAGCCTCACTCGGTCGAACATTACGAATGGAGTGCATGAGTGATGTCGAACTTGTGAACCTACTTAGCGGTGATGGAGGTGCGCAAATTGACGCGGCTATATATGTCTTTGCTCCCAACTTGGCTCAAGAGTCCAGCTCATCGCCTTCGGGATTGACTGCTGCACACCAGGAACTTTTGCAATTCCTTTCGAGAACTACAAATCTCATACCGGTGATCGGCCGGGCGGATGCAGTATCGCCAGACGCGCTACATGCTCGAAAGAACCAGCTCCGCGATGAGCTCGAGAAGATGAACATTGAGACATACTCCCTGAAGGATCTTAAGGGCAACAATATTGTGGGACCTTTCACGATTTCATCAGCTTCGGAGGATGACGCAGACGAGGTTGATGCCAGCGTTCTAATGTCCTCGCAGTATATGAAACCCCTTGCCCCAAGCGATCTTGCACAATTCGCAGACATGTTGTTCTCGCCGGAGAATATGGCCAGAATGCGACACGTATCAGCAACAAAGTTCTTGCTCTGGAGACAGCGAAATCTTGGTCAGCACGTTGGCATGGAGAATCAGGTTGCTTTGCAGTCTTCATCCATTGGCCACCATAGTCGAGCTGCAAGTACTGGTAGCCTGCTGGAGGAAACAAGTAAGGCGCTTGTGCCACACTCGACTTCCAGCTGCTACTGCTCGGCTTCCCCAGCACTCTCGGAAATGTCGGCGCTGTCTGACCATGTGCACGACACTTCTTCTCTCGCTCTGGCCAAGTACAACGAGCAAGCGAAGACTACTGTGCCTTTCCGCCAAATTCGCCTAGCGAAATGGGCTCAGGATCTTCAACGCAGCCTCGATAACGAACGTCGGAAGTACCATGACTTTTACTCTACTCAGCAGGCAGATTGGGCGTCTGGTGATCAAGAAAAGAACCAACAGGCGCTAGTAGCATTGAACAGTCCAGGGCAAGGTCGTCTTGGCGGCGACCTTGGAATCATCGATCCTCGAGACCCGCTTGGCGTTCTAGCTTTTGGTCAGGCGTGTAGCCGTCAAGGCTTTGTGGTTCTCCAAGTTGCAGCCAGCTGCGGATTGCTCGGTGCTTTGTTGTACTGGGCTGCAAAGAACTGGCACGACATCCAACACTTCCTCGGACTGAGCATGTCACCGCAGACCGTAATATCTGCCACAGCAGTACCACCCCCGTGTTCAACAGATCCACAACCAATTCTGAGTGGCTGGTTCAAAGATTCGAAGATTCGAGGCTTCTTTGATTGGAGCAGCTGGCATCAGCACTGAGATGTGAGCCTAACACATTTTCATCCGTTCGCGAACCATTGATGCATTATTGAGATACCACGACGCATGTACGCAGTAGCAAAGATCTTGCCTAATTTGCAATTCATTGAAGTCTCTTCACAGGCCGTTGCGTAGCGAGCTCCGTGTTCGACATGATGCACAGTCCATCACGCGCGCCAGACAATAGTGGCACGCAGCGACATTTATGAATCTGCTATGCAATCCTATCGCCAGAAGACCGGTGAACAAGTACCGCTCTACGAATGCACTAGAACATCATAATTTGATGATAATGAACGCCACGGCGCAGTCGATTGGCGACGGCTACGTTGTTGTGTTGCCAAGCGTGTCAAGAACCTCAGGGGGGAGAGGAAGGGCGTCATCACGCAATTAGAAGAAGTTGAGGTTTGCTCCCCTTCTTGGCCAAGGTGTCTCCGTACAGTCGCTTGACAAGCCGAACACAGTTGATTTGTTGCGCAGATCCTGCCCTGATGAATATTATTGCTGTCGGCTGTCCAGATGTCGAATCCTTCCACGCACCGTGTCAAGACGGCCGAAGCCTGCTACAGCAGATTGAACCCGACGCGACCCGCTTCTCAATCCCCGCGGCTCCAAGAACTCTGTTTCAATGCTTGGCTTCGATATCTCAACGTGCATCCAATCCTGGCTGTCTTTGCTACCACACCTTGCACATGACCAAGGCGACGTTTCGCCCATGACTTCCACGATGCCAATGCCGTCTGCATTGGGGTGTGCCTGGAGAGCACTCCTCGGGCAAGAGCACAGAAATCGCTTCGACGAAGGTACAATGAAAGCAAAGTAAGGTCGTACCGGTAAGAAAGAAGTTGCGACAAGGGTCATCAACGCACTTTCTCCCACGACGCGAATAATGCTGGTCCGCTGGAGAGCCTATTGTGAAACCTGGTTTCCAACTCTAAAGGTTCAAGCAGTGCGTCAAGCTCTGGCGCTTCCGCGACCCTCATCACACTCTGCAGCTGCAGCACGCCGCCTGCTTTTAAGCTTGTTTGCATCTCGTATCGCGCCCAAAAGTCCGTGTTTCCTCTGCTTGGAGCCGGCGCATCCCTTCGGCAAACATATATCAGTCACGGCCGGTCCTTCCACGTATCCGCGCTCAACATGCGCTAGATTGCAGGCTGCCGCCATTTCTTCGGAATCATCCTACAAGAACGACATGATAGAACAAGGACCATCCGCTTGGAAGTCGAAGAAAGCGACTGGACAGAACTGAGGGATGGCGATGACTCTCCATCCTGCATTCTGGAAGGCCGTCAGCGCTTTTCTGCTGCTGTGTGTCCTAATCCAGCAGTATGCTCTGTCGGGCACTCGAACGCCCACAGTTCAACAAGCCATCCATCCGACGTCCCATATAGAAGCACCCCAATTGACTGGTGTCAGCGCCGCACTGGAGCAGGAGCTCGATCAAAAGAACCACTCACTGGCCAAGACTGTCACACACGCCGATGCATGGAGCTATTCTTGGGTTAGAGACGCTGACAACCATGGCCTTTCAGAGCGACAATGCGAATCTGCCTTTCCAAATCTATGGACCCAGATCGAACGCTCGGAGGAATATTGGAAAGAGAAGAAGATTGGTGTGCAGGACATTGAGCTTTTCGCAGGCAACGATGGAGGAGTGCGAGTGCTCCTGAGCAATTCACAGCTTCGCGTTGTCAGAACGAAAGGGCTGCATCGCGATGATTTTCGTCATCGAATTATAGCAGTCTTGCAGCAGCTGCTGCGGGCGATCACAGCTGCTGAAGCTATTGATGAACCTATCCCTGATATCGAATTCACTGTTGTGGTCGACGACCAAGCTGTCACACATCCTGACAAGAACGGTGCGTACTTTGCGTTCGCAAGACAGTATGGGAATCACAGGCACGACTCATTATGGATCACCCCGGATTTCCACTTCTTCGGAGCACCTCCCGAAGCAGGCAGTTTTCGGGAAATGCGAGAGAAGTTTCGAAAGCATGATTCACCTCTTGCGAAGAAGATCCAAAAGGTGGTGTGGAGAGGGGCTACTTGGACCAATCCGGAGATCAGAGAAGCTCTAATCAATGAGACAAAGGGCCACGCGTGGGCTGACGTTGAAGCCATGAACTGGGAGGACCCGTCGAGCATTATGCCTATGGAAGCATTTTGCAGATACAAGTACGTCGTGAATACCGAAGGTAGAGCCTGGTCAGCTCGAATGACCCACCTTTTAAACTGCAATTCATTATTGCTTGTGCACGACGTGGAATGGATTGCACATTATTACCATCTTCTCGATACAGAGACCAACTGCGTTCACGTCGCACGCAATTTCTCGGACCTGGGAGAGAAGATACGGTATTACGACACGCACCCGGAGGAGGCTCAAAAGATAGCAGATAATGCTAGAACGACGTTCCGAGAACGATATACGACCCCGGCCGCGGCAGCGTGTTATTGGAGGAAGCTTCTGAGAGCCTACGCACGCGTCGCTTTCACGCCCGAAACAACGACTATCAAGAAGAACAAGCATAAGCTAGCGTCGAAGGAACAGCCAAGAGGCATCTCGTTCGAAGAATTCATTGTACATGATAACACGCAGGATTATCCTTACGTACCCACGAAGAAGTCAGAGGAGAAGGCACAGAAGAAGGCTGGCGCGCGATGGGTGACTTGAGGCAACGAAGGCCTAGCAAGATGTCTTTTCATCATAAATGACTGTCTGGCATGCCTGCATGTGGCTTTTTGCGCTGTTCTGAGGGCAACAGTTCGAGACAGGCAGGGACACAACGAGCTTCAGCCGATCCAAGATGTGACCTGGAAATCTTGGGTGGGTAGTCGCACTCCAGATTGTAATTGTCGCCACTCCAGGCGAGCAAGGCTGGTTACAGAAGCTATCAGTGAGCAAGGCAAGAGATTGCGCGTGCAGCAAGAGTAGGCATCGCCCAATCGTGGTTGCGGAGGAGGAGTCTTGCCGATGCACAGGTGAATGTCTGGACACGGCTCGAGAGAGGAATGGATGCGAACGATTCCACGTCTTTGCTAACGCTGTGGTACAGTGTCGACGCTGGGCGATGGACTCGGAAGCTCTCTCACGAGGTAGCCTGCGTCAATAGCGAAGTTAAAGTGGATACGCAACTCTAGCAGTGTCTTTTGAGGGTGGAAGATTCCTCGATCGGGTTCGAGGATGTGTGTCGTCGCAAGGTGTGAATGTAGATATGAGTGCATTGAATGCCGCCAAGCCGAAATGCAACCAACCATCAGTGTCCTCTTCCGCACCCGCACCCGCACCCGCACTCATCACTTCACTTTGTCCACCTTCGCTTTGAGCATCGCGACCGACATAAAGCTATCTTCATCCAGCGCGATTGTTTGCCTCGTCGACCTTTGCAAGCACTTGCCGTGTGTACCGAAATTGGCAGACCTTTCCTCTGCTCCAAGTTGCTTCGCGGCGTTCGCGCATCGCAAATCGCAACTGCGCTCACGACGCCGGTTCTTCAAAGTTTGCCCGCGGAGCTTGACTGATCCTCCGCGACACGCCAGTCCATCCTCTGCCAACCACCCACCAAGCACTTCGACCGCGTCTGCACGCAACGCTTCCTGCACCTCACCTCCGACAGCTCCAGTACAGGTACAGCTTCACCATGGCTTCCGAGGTCGCGGGCATGCCGAACGGCACCTACGCGCCTCACCAGGCATACGGCGGCATCGAACAGAACAACTACGCTCATGCAACCAATGCTCAGGCACCGCAGCAAGCCGCTCCGCAAGCACCGCCCACATCGTCCACCCCGTCCAACGCGCAGCAAGCACAGCAACCAGATATCCCCAAGGATGAGGTAGGCTGGTACTTTGTCGAGCAATACTACACCACCCTGTCACGCAGTCCCGAGAAACTTTACCTCTTCTACAACAAGCGCTCTCAGTTTGTCTCTGGACAGGAGACCGACAAGGTTGCCGTATGCGTGGGTCAGCGTGCCATCAATGACAAGATCAAGGACCTCGATTTCCAAGACTGTAAAGTCCGCGTTACCAACGTGGACTCCCAAGCCTCCGATACAAACATTGTTATCCAGGTCATCGGAGAACTCTCAAACCGAGGCCAGCCTCATCGCAAGTTCACCCAGACTTTCGTGCTCGCAACGCAGACCAACGGCTACTTTGTTCTCAACGACATCTTCCGCTACCTGGTGGAGGAGGAGGACGAGCCAGAGGCTGAGACTCGGCAGCCTGCCCAAGAGGTGCAGCAGGTCTCAGGTACTGAGAGCGGCTTCCAAGAGCCTGCTCCATCAGAGGCCGAGCCAAAGACGTTGACCAGCTCTGCTGAACCTGCTGCTGTTGAGAAGAACGCACAAGAGGTTGACAAGGAGATCGAGGAGAAGCTTGTGAACAATGTGCATAATGTCCAGAGCGCTGTTCCAACTGCGACAAACGGCGAGCCAGCCTCCGAAGAGCCAGCTGTCGTTGAGGAGAAGTCATTGGAATCAACAGATGCAGGCAAGCCATCAGCCGTCGAGGCACCGACCGCCGCCGAAGTTGATATCGAGCCAGAAACGCCAAAAGATCCAGAACCAACTCCCGTTACGAGTCCGGCTGCACCAGCACAGGCTCCATCTCAAGCAGCCTCGGCCCCGGCACCCAAGCCAGCTGCTCCGGCTGCACCGAAGACCTGGGCCAGCCTCGCAGCATCTGCGAATCGTGTTGCGACTCCTGCTCCTCCTGCTCCTGCTCCCCCTGCTGCGCCAGCTACGCGTCCGGCTCCCAAGGCTGCCACTCCGACTGCGCCTGCCCAGCCCGCCTCATCATCCACTTCGTCTGCTCCATCCGCACCTGCAGCTCAGCGACAGGAGGCTCAGGGCTCTGATTCTCAGGACGAGTGGACTGCTGTCAGCAGCAGCCACAACCGCCAGCAATCTCGACAGGCAAACAATGCGTCTCAACAAGAAGAATCTGCAAACCGTGGCTACATCAAGAATGTGAGCGACAACGTTGAGCACAACAAGCTTCGTGCAGAGCTAGAGAAGTTTGGCAAGGTCGCTTATTTCGACATTGCGCGCCAAAAGGTATGTTCTGCAGTCACTTGCCTCACTTTCGTTTGCTAAACATAGCCAGAACTGTGCCTTTGTCGATTTTGAGACTACTGAGGGTTACAACAAAGCGCTGAACGCACCATTCAAGATCGGCGACGACGAACTCTACGTAGAGAAGCGCCACATTCGGCCAGGTCAAACTCCATACATCCCTCGCGGCCAATTTCAGGGCGGTCGAGGCGGCGGTCGTGGTAGTGCCGGCCAGGGCGCACCTCGCGGCAACTATCAAGGTGGCCGTGGCAACGGCAACGGCGCACCTCGCGGTCGGGGCGGCTTCCAGTCCCAGCGAGGCGTTCGTGGAGGCGCCCAAGCATAAATGACTGGCACGTTGTTGGCCGCATGCATTTGGCCCTGTGCCGCTCCCGAGACTCGCACGGCATGCGAAGTCTCCTTCCAGCACAGCACACGACGAATCACCCACAAAATGTACTACTATCAGAGCGCTTTTGCCAGGACTTTTAATGTGTCATTAGCTACGATGAGATCGCGGATCTCGCATAGAGCGGGAAAAGTTGCATAGCGTGGCTTGTCATTTTGACTGGACAGAGCGTGGTGTATTCTTGGGCTTTGTCTCGCATTGGCTGGGTTGCTACCATTTCTGATCCTCAGATAGCGAACAGATCTGATGTAAAAAGAGAAACAAACAACACAGATTGTGCATGCTCATTGACAGAGAAACGCACTGCCGACTAGAGAATCCCTAGATATCATTCGCACGTGCCTCAAGTTGTGTGTGTCTGTGCCTGACGCGGGGCGGCGCATCCCGCTAGAACTAACTTCTAGTTCCAGACTTCCAGTCTTCTGTGTTTACTTGCGCAAACACATCACGAGTCCACCTTTCGACTGCATACAGTGGCAGCCGTACTGAGCGCACTCTTGATCGGAGAATCCCGCCGACAAATTCCAACTCATCCAACGCACCTGGCTGATTACTGAGCACGCACACCACTTCTGCGCATCACGATGGGTGAATCCAGGTGAGGCCCCAACGAGCGACGGCTCTCATTTGAATCGTGGCCGGGCAGTCGCGCAGACGTCACTAACATGGAGTGGCAGACAAGAATTGCTGGCCTGGCTAAATGGCTTACTCCAGCTGAACCTGACCAAAGTCGAGCAGTGCGGTACTGGGTATGTCGCTCCCACTGATGATCACCAAAGGCGCCAGAGCCGATTGACTGACGCTTCCCAAGCGCTGCCCTTGTGCAGATCTACGACAGCATCTTCCTCGACGCGCCTCTTAGCCGTATAAAGTTCGATGCCAAAAGCGAATATGCGTATCTCGAGAATTTCAAGATATTAAGTAATCTTTTCCGCAAGCACCATATCGACCGTCCTATCCCTGTGGAGCAGCTGGTGAAGTGCAAGATGCAAGACAATCTCGAGTTCCTGCAGTGGACGAAGAGATACTGGGACCAATACTATCCGGGCGGCGATTACGATGCAGTGGGCAGACGGAAAGGAGTCGGTGGTGCGGCTGCTCCTCCTTCAATGCCAACTGCTCGGACATCGGGAGCTACCGCGGCAGCGCGTAAACCTGCTGGTGGTTTCGGTGCAGCAGCCCCACGGGTCAGCAGCCGTCAAGCAGGTGGCCCTGCGACTGCAGCCCTGCAGCAGAAGAATGCCGAGCTGATGGAGACGGTGGGTGGTCTCGAGCGGGAGCGTGACTTCTACTTCAGCAAGCTTCGAGACATAGAATTGCTCATCCAGCAAGCTATGGAGGCCGATCCGTCACTCGAGGAAGACGAAAACAGCTTGCTCAAGCAAATACAGACCATTCTGTATAGCACCGAGGTGAGTGAGAAAAGCAAGGCTATTGTATGCTGATCTAACCATGTCTTCCAGGAGGGCTTCGAAATCCCACAAGAGGCAGATGCTGAAGTCGCAGGCGATGAAGAGACATTCTAGAGATACCACCAATTTTACGAACTACCAGTCGTTTTCAGGGCATTAGCGGAGCGAAATGATACCATAAGTAGAGCATGAAGGATCGAACAGGGCAGCATCTTGACCATGGTCGCGGCAAGCTTGCACGATCATGGAGATTGCTGGCGAGTGTTGCTGTAGCTCTGTCACAGGATCGGAGGGATATATGTTTCGGCTAGGCTTTGGCTAGGCTTTGGCTTCTCTCGTCAAGGAGTAGAATGAAATGCATCAATTGGATCTGCAAGATGGCCTGAACTTCTGAACAGCTTACAACTGACGACATCTGTCTGATCTGTCACAAGATAGACAATACTTCACATGCCGTTGCCATGCTGCAAAGCACAATATGATCGTTCTCCGCTGCTAAGCCCAAAAACTGCCCAAAAAAAACATCTATTCTATTTACGCTCGTCTCCCTTTCCCAAAATGCTCAGTCAGCGCGATTGGTGCATCTCGCTCGTCTGTAAGCCTGGTCGCCTGCCCGTATGTTGGCGGCTGGTTGTCTCTCCGTCGTCTTTCACCTATGACAATGCTGGCAATGTACGCCAGTGACATGATCACTGCAACTACAGCGTATGCAGCCTTGGCACCTGTCCCAGCTCCTGCTATCGCAAGTCCAAGACCTCCGTTGATCATGCCCAGTGGGATCGCGATGCGTCCGATAGTCAAATGAGCATAAGACCAGCCGGTCCGGTGTCCATATTTCTTGAAGAGTCGGTGATGCAGCAGGCCGCTTATGGGTTGCGAAAGGAGAACGAGGAACAATATGCCGCCTATGATCGGATGGGCGTGGATGGTGATGGAGCTGCGGAGCTGAGACATGAGATATGCTCCCATTCCAAACGCGACAATGTAGATGAGATATGCAACGGCTTGCATAGCAGCGTGAACCCAGATCAACCCGGTGAAATTCGCGATGCGGATCAAGATGCCTCCAATTGGGAAGAGACCGACGAATGCTAGGGAAGCTAGAGCTCCGTGAGCACTGATGATGCGGTCGCCCATTTTGTAGTCACCGCCAAATGGTGCTCCGTTGTTCTCAAAGGTTGCAGAGCCTGTGTCGCCGTTGCTTGACAAGCCGCTGTCCTCACAGTATGGGAGGTTGGAAGTCTCGCGCTTGTTGTTGTTGTTGTTCTGGTTCCAAGGAGCGCTTGTGGGCCATGATGCTTGACCAGAGACAAAGCATGAAGCTGCCCAAGTTGGTCGAGCGGTGGGCCAACTGGTAGAGAACTGTGAAGGCCAGGCTGTTGGGCAGCCTGAACCTGATGGTGAAGCAATTTCGGCAGATGTTGACCTTGGGATGCAGGAGGATGTTGCTGTAGAGCTCCCGGAACTGGTTGCAGTGCTGCCACTCGCCACGAATGGGTTTACGCTATCACCTCCTTTCGCACTAGCCATGTTCCATGTAAAGGGAGATGCATTGTCGTGTCTGCTTATGCTGGCGGATAGATCATCCGAGTTCATCGAATCGCCCGACTTGTACGCGAATATCCAGTCGCTTGAAGAGCCCGTGAAGTCCATTTTGCCTCCAGACCAGCTATTGCAATTACTGCACCGCACGTTGGCAACCATCTTGCCGTTGCTGATGCCTGAGCCTTCTAGTAGTTCGACTTGGGCGTTGGTATCGTGCTGAGGTTCAACATGCCCAGTGCCTAGTCGTGGAGATAGTGTGACATTTTTTCCACCTGCTGAAGTATACATCACGAAGATGTTCGACCCAGACATCGACGATCCTTGACCGAGAGCCAGCCATGAGTATGTAGTCGGAGCAGAGAGTTGAAAGAAAATGTCGCCATTTCCAGAGCTGGCAGTGGATTCTGGAATGTTGAGAGAGTAGCATATGTCGCTCTCTGGGCATGTCTTCGCGATCGACTGTGCGTGTGCTGTAAGTCCTGTCCTTCCATTAGCACCTATGTGCAGCGCCTGCTGCTTCCAACTACGAACCAAGGCTTGCAGCCAGAGCAGCAGATAGCGTCTTCATGATGCGACTGCTCGCAATGATTGACAACCAAACGAAGTTGTCTCTTTGTATTCTGGACTTTGTACAGGAGGGATTGTGAAGAGAGTGTGATTCTTGGTATTGCACTGACAATGATTGCCAGTCACAGTCCCAGAGCAAAAAGCAAATGAGCAACGGCAGACCAGTATAGATAGGAGCCTGCAATAATAACGGCCCATAATCAGGGGCCCAGAGGATTCAGGAACTACTGTACGCAGCGTGACCTACCCGAGAGGCGTTTCCCGAAGCCATCGACCCAGAACTTGAAACAGCAACGCAAAGGCAGCCTGGCGAAATCTCACGGTTCGCTGACTTGAGATTTTTAAAAGGGTGCAGTTGCACATGGCACACTTGATGTCCATGATTGTTCGTCAAATCATGTTCGAGGTACGATAGAGGTCAGCTGTGGAAAAGATTTGGTGAAGCAAAAACGGGCACTCGAGCATTCGCTGCTTCCAGGCCACGGGTCTTCTGTATATGGTATAGCGTAGGGAAAGACGTCTTTGCGAAGCAGCACGTGTTGACAAGACCAGAACACAACTAATTGCCAAAGCGTGGGTTTTTGCCATTGCCGCCTGTCTGCTTTTCACAGACGCCATAAGATTTGCTAGCAATGGCTAGCATCGTATTTGCTGCAAACACATGCCTTGTTGTTTGTTAAGCCACTGTATCTTGTATTGGGAGTATCAGTGTCAACTTCTCTGGTGCTTGAAGTTAGCTCTTCTCGGAAACAATTCCATTCCACGAGTCACATCAGTCAAATCAACACAAGTATCGTCAAGCACTAGGTACGGCAATCGTTAGCTTTAGACCTGTCAAGGCGACCGCGTGAGCCTGTCGAACTCCTGAATAGCACCTTGCACAGCCAGTGAGCTAGGCGTAGGCGAAGTTGACCAAGAGCAATAATGAAAGCAGCACAAGTTGACAGTTAAACAATTTTTGTTCAGGTACGGAGAAAACTCTCCTTGCTTCAGTATTTCGTACAACCGATCGTGCTGGACGATGGCCTCCAGCTTTCCGACATCAGAATCGATTGCTTTCGGTCGATAGCGCCTTCAAGCGGCAGTCAAAGTTGGTGTGGGAGCATTCTATGCTCCGAGAGCTGGGAACGCGCTCTCATCCTTCAGGGCGATTCCACCACGAGGAGCACCGCGGTCACCACGAGCGCCTCCTCTAAAGTCGCTGCCGCCACGGCCACGTCCTCCACGACCACGCTCGCCGCCACGGAACTCGCCGCGTCCTCCACGACCGCGACCACGGCCTCTGCCTCCACGGTCACCGGTGTCTGGTGCTTGATAATACTGGCCGTCCAAGGCAAGGCGCTCCTTCTTGTCGCCAAGCTCCTTAGTCTTCTTAGCCTTGCCTCCGCTACCGGCGAAGTAGTTCTCCTCCTCAGGATCACGAGCGTAAGCCTTGCCTGTTGGGAACTTCTGCTTGGAGCCCTCGTTTGCCTTGCGAATGCTCACTTCGTCACCCAAAGCCAGACGCTTCTCGGCCAGCTCAGCCAAGTACGCATCGTAGCTCTTGGTCTTGTCCTCAGGTTCAGCAGCAGCCTCCTCGCCAACAGCTTCGCCATCTCCAGGTCCGTTGGAGAATGCTGGGTCTTGACCAGCGGTGTCGGGGGTAAAGCCCGACTCGTTCTTGGCTTCAGCTTGAGCAATAGCCTCGCCCGCAGTCTCATCAGCCCATTCAGCATTGCCGTCGTTACCGCCCCAGCCGTGCGCTGCCTGCTTCTCGTGCTCGCTGTATCGAGTCAGTGGGGGCTCCAGAGCGACCAAACCCTCTTCACACGTACCCAATGCCAGTGTGGCTGTGACGGTCATCGCGTGGTGCGCCTCCTCGTCCACCTCGGCCACGGCCTCTACCACGTCCACCACGATCGCCTCCGCGGTGCTCACGTGGTTCTGCGCGGGTGTCAGTCAGGGAGATTGGATGTGTAAGTTGAGTAGGGCAAATCACCTCTTGTGCGGTCGGAATGGCGGTCACGTCGAAAGCCGTCGTCGCGGTTCTCGGCGCGGTTGTTCAGAGAGCCCGCTATGAATAGTCAGTGCAAGTTCCAAAGTGTTTGACGATGGCCATGCACAATCGAGGTGCGACTTCCACGCTGGCTTTCATCATTGCACGCGCGCTTCTTAACCTTACCTTGGTCGCCTCTTGTAAACGTTTGATGGCTGCCACCTCGCCCACCTGCGGCTGGCCTAGGAGTATCCCTAGCAGGTCCGTCGGCGCCAGCATTGCGCTTTCCTGTGCGCTGGACTGGCTTGTCAATGACCTTGGTCGGTGGCTCTGGCTCCCGATCTGGGTCGAGCTCCGGGTCGTTGCCTGATGCGATTATTAGTTATGCGTGCGAGGCGCCATTGATACTGGTCGTGGTCGTGGTTCGCATACCCAGGAGGTCGTACAAGTTCTGGAGCATTGAAGTCAGCCTCGTTTTCTCTCTCGCGCAAGGCGGACGTCACACGACCGTCTGACGAACTCAGCAGTAGTGAAACATGGGATCTCGACTGACCTTGCTTGCAATGGCGCTCATGTTTGTGGAAGTCACGAGCTGAAGCCAGACGACATGGTGTTCGCAGAGAGAGAGGTGATGCAAAATTCCAACTCCGCAATTTCAAGTTGTCTTGGCACGGCTCCCGAGCTTCGACACGGCACGGGACAACTAAAAATCCCATTATTATCACGTTGAGGCTCCAATGCGACAGTGCGATGATGCATTGCAATCACTGAGGATGACCTCAGCTTCCGATTCTTTTGAAGTGAACAAATATTGAAGCACAATGGCTTGTGACCATCAAACCAACGCTACATTTTGCTTTTCCGCCATACTTTTACATGCTCCGCTCCCAATGCGCGTCCTTCAAATGCTCGCCAAAGAACAGCATGATCGAATGACCTCCCAATGGCGCGCCTCATTCCCTGGCTGCGGCCTATGCACCTTCGCTATGCGCGCCATGCAAATGCCGTTTCGTTCATTCAGAACACATCAATCATAGCCCGCAGATACTGCTGCGGTGCTTAAAGGCCTCGTGGAGGAAGAAAAAAGTCGCTTTTTTTGTTGACCGCCCTTAACACCATCCCTCCCATGAAATTAATGGACTATCTTTGCCCGTGGTGTTGCTCGAACGAGTATGTGGTTGGATAGTGCATTGACGCACTCAGTCCAAACGGGTCTGCATCAAGCATTGGGTCGTTTGGATCAACCTCATAAGGACCATCGTTCCCGTTGGGATGACTGGTCGGAATCATTTGCTGCATCTGTTCGTACTGTGAATGCGGTGACAGCTGATGCTGGCCCTGCTGCATGCCTTGCGGAGGGTTATAGTAATCTCCAGACGTTTGTTCTTGGGGATTCTGGTAATGTTGCGGATATTGACCCTGTGACTGTGGAGATCGATGCGTTCGGAGATTGTCGTCATCGGGTTCGTCGAGCATGGATCGGGAGTGCTGAGTGTCGTACTCTTGGTCTGTACTCACGGAGTCAACCTAGGACGAACACAGTTCTGTAAGAAAAGATGGGGGAACTTGCCGAGCTGATCAAAATGTTTCTGAAATGGACTAGGATAGGAGAAGGTTGATGCTGCTGCACTGCCACCGGCGCTGCCGGGCTGGGGCACACCATGACTCCCCGTTGACATGCTTGACATACCACTTTGACTGCCTTGATAGGTAGACGCGGGAGTCGGGCGTTGCTGCGGCTGGCGTGGGCCATTTGCGGGCTGCTGCTGAGCTTGATAGAAAGCTTGGTTAGGTTGCGGTTGCGACGAGCGCGCCAAGCTCTGGAAATGCTGTGCTTGCGGCTGAGCGAGGACAGCAGATGCGGGTGAGGTCATCCCACCTTGTTGCAATGCCAGCGATCTCGTCGACAGTTGACTTGGAGAGGAAGCATGAGACGATGGGGTCGGGTGAGCGTGAGGCGATGTAGTAAAGCCCATGTCCGGATTGGACTGTCCAGGAGCCAGCTTAGGCAGGAAGTTCTGGCCAGATCTTCGGGCCTGCTGCCTTTGCAAGGCTGTTCTTTGCAATGGTGGTTGTGGTGGCATAGTAGCCGCAGGGTGCATAAATCCAGGGCCAAGGACGGGACTGCCGGTCTTCATCTGTAGTTCAGCCTGGACATCGATGCCTGAGCTAGTCAATATCACGGGTGAAGAAGCTGGCAGTCGAGGGACATTACCTTTCTCGAGCAATATTCGTTCCAGTAGACTGTTCTTGTAGCGCAGCATGAGACATTCGTCTGCGGCAGTGCGCTGGCTTTGCTGCAGGCTTGACAGATTCTCTTCATTGTGCTTGATGGTTGCCTCGAGTTGCTTGATGTATTCAGTCCGTCGTTCGCGAAAGGCAGCCTGAGCCTGTCGATTACGTTGCTTCCGCTCTTCCGAGGTCGCGTATATCTGAGCCCGTCAGCCTTACACGGGACAGAGGATCGATAGATGGGTACGAGTCGTTTATCAGATGACACTTACAGGCTTTCGACCGCCTTTGCGCTTCTGGGGCTGGGCAGGTTCCTGGGGTTGTTCGGCGCCAGCGTCTTGGTCTTGATCGGGAGACGACTCGATAGAGCTCGGGGTGGCAGCTTCGGCTCCCTCCTCGACCTTAGCGACCTTAGAGGGAGCTGCCATATGGGCGTCGACGATATTGTTATCTCCCATCTGCAGGAACCCGGGGAAGGCACTGGCCAAAGCCAGGCGACGCTAAAAGATTGCACCCAGATGGACGGGGCAGGCTTGTGAAGCGTGAAAGGGACAGATTGATAATAACGTTAGCATAGACAAAGATAACGTTGCGTACCGTGGAAGAGGAGGAAAGACTGTGAGGTAAGAGCTTGGGTAATTGAAATTGATCAATGAGGAGGAGAAGGCGGTCACGCGGACCGGTAGCTGGAGGCGAGACCGGCGCAAAAGAAAGCCGGACCATACTATTAGCAGAAGAGAAAATTTCTCCTCCTACTCCAGCGTGGGAAGTGCAAGTGCAACTAAGCCGTCATCAAGAGTCCGAGTCTTGCCTTGGCTTGGCCAGCGGAGAGCGGTTGGATGCATGCCGGAAAAGATGGTGAGCGTGCAAGGGCACTTGTGACTTCAGGCCGGCCGGTTGCTTTGCCGCACCCTGGTCGGAAGCAAGCGATCGTGGTGGTGATTTGCTCGAAAGCATGCATGCGTGATGCATTCGCGCTCGCGAGTCGTCCAAGCCAGCGGCGAGCGGCGAGAGACGGGCTCGGCGACTAGCTCTGGACAGCAGTTACTGCCTCGCCATCCAATCACAGCACTGGATGTCAGCATTGTCAGGAAGTCTAGCGGCTAAGTCTAATCCTCGTAGCGTCTGAGAGTAGCCTCGGCATTAGACACTACGAAGACCACAACCTCTCTATACTAGAATCCACAACGAGATTAGTCTTGTGCCAAGCACTCATCCTTCTGCGCTTTCTCCGCTGGAGACGTCTTCTGGAAGGAAAGGAGGGTCAGAAGGAGAACAAGGCGGAAGCGAAGGAAGGCCCACAAGCACCATCTTCACCGTTGAAACAGCAACAACATCTCTACGTGACGTGCGCGAGGCGAGGCGTCTGCCTTCACACAATCATTATTATCACTATCACGGGAGGCGTCGTGGCGATGCTCGGCGCTGGAGCAGCAAAGTTTCGCTAGAATACTGGTCAATGTGGTCACAAGATGTCGCGGCGTGAGCCTCGAAGCTCGTATCACAACACAACTCGTGATATGCCTACTTTCCGCTTGTGGCTTGTGGCGGCACTGCTTGCTGCTCGCGCCCAGCCTTCGACGGCGGTTGACGTTTCTCAGCTCCCCAGCCAGTGCCACGTGTGGTCGCGATGCTGGGACCAAATTTAATACCGCATGCACGGACTTTTGACCCCCACGCTCGTTGCGAAGGGCAACCTGCTATAGAATACGGAGGTAGGTGAATGAATTGGACGAGATTTACGACATATACGTCACTTTTGACACACATTCATTCGCAACGCTTTTGAAAATAAAGATGCTAATGGCCTCCGGCGGAAGGGGCAGTGTCTCGCGCAGAATAGCACCCCTGCGCCTCGAGTATACCTTACGGACGGGTCCCCCCTTCCTACGGTCGTATCTCCCTACGGAGGGACCCCGCCGTCCGACGGTCTCGGCTAGCGGGGGCCCCTGCTATTCTTTGCCCCGGGGCGGAGCGGGATTCCGAAGAGGGGGGGGGGGGCGACAGCGAGGTCAAATTTCCCGGCTAAAATGCCGGAAAGGGACCCCTACGCGAGATATATATACCGCGTCTGCGATATATATCGTCCTACGCGTCAAAATTAGCGGTAGACAGAGGGAGGGACGGTACTTACGACAGCGAGGTTGATATAGGAGGGAGAAAGAACGCGACCGGAAGATATATATATATATATATATACCGAGAAGTAAACAAACCTCAAACAAACATCCTATTTAGGAACGCTAGTCGTGCGGTATTAAATGTGCGTCCGCGATGCTACGCCCAAATTCCGTGGCGACCACGCTGCTGCAATTCGCACGGGAGTATGAGTGCGGGCCTGCAAAATGAGGCCAGCAAGTGACCGCCGTGTGCACAATTCTGAGGCCTCTCCTATGGTGCAAGAATGCGATCAAATGTATTTTGGAGCCCTACAATCAAGGACGCAGTGGCTGTCAAGCTTGATGAGCTTCTTCCGCTTCTCTGGCAAGCCCGAGCGCATCATTCAATCATTGCTGGACTGTTTCCAATCTCGTCGGCTGTGCCATATCAAAGACTGCGAGAAGTGGAAGCCACTGACTCTACTATAGCTGCGCTTTCCTGGTGCTGCCGGCAGCTTCTCAAACCCTCATCTGCGTGCCTTCTCCCTCCGCGCCAAACAGATCATGTATCTTGATCAAGGATTGATTCTGTTGGAAAGTACTCGGAATGCAGCACTGCTACAATGACAAGTCGTGCACAGCGATACGAGATCTCCAGGCCACAACCCATTCAACAACATGATCCTGCTCCACTCCCTCCGCCGCCTGCCCCTCCGCCTATACCCTCCACGCCCAAGCTGTCGTGTGAGACCATTGATTATGCAGCTGCAGAGCCGATGCCCTGGTCGAACGGGTTGCCGCGGCCACTATCCGACATTCGAGAGCTGAGCGAACCCAGCCTCATGGACAACTTCATTCGAAATGCCGCTCGACACCAGAGAAGTGCTTCGAAGACCAGCTCAGTGAAGCGCAAAGGCTCGATCAAGTGGGAGGCTGTCAAGCGCGAGGAGCCGTTCAAGACAAGCTGTGCGGAAACAGGGCCTCTTCTGAAGGTCATGCAACCTCCAAAAGACGCATCATCGGAGTACAGTAGCACGCCTGAGCAACCGAGCTTCTTCAGTATCCCGCAGTCAAGCGTGCCACGACGCTCTTCTTCGTTTCAGCGGCAGGCAAGATCACATACCAGGAATCCGTCGATGCGTAGTCAGCCATCATCAAATCTAGCACCACCCATCAGACAGGGATTCTCCATCCCAAACCGAGGCACTAGTCAATCACCGGTGAAGGAAGCACGGCTCAGGCTGGATCCTGTTTCGTCTGACGCGGCGAGAAGGGTCCCTTCACGTACCCATATTCGAATACCACATCCAACGGAGATACTGGAGTATCCTTCATACAAACATCCTCGACTCAAGCTCGAATTGCAGCTCTCTGCTCCGTTGTTTGTCGGGGGAGGAAGCGTCGAAGGCTATGTTAAGGTGACCGTTGACGATAATGAGCGTGCACGAAATAGACGGTCTTTAAGCATCGGAGCCATATCTGTGGACTTGCTTGGCTTCGAGCAAGCTGACAGCTGCCGGAGGGCTACGTTTCTGGCGCTGGGCACTGAGCTGATCGACGCGGATCATCCTCCACCTTCCTGCATGGTGCAGTCTCCGAGTCCTTTCTTTGCAGACGAAAGATTTTGGTCACTGATGCCATCATGCTCAGCACTCCCATTCATGATCAGCCTGCCTCTTGATACTGGTCCTCCACCATTTCAATCCAAGCATGCCAGCATACGATTCATGCTCTCTATTACTGCGTTGGTCCGCGATTCTGGAAAGCATTATCGAGTTCGAACATCTCAAGATGTGCACGTGCTGCCGACATACGACCCCGAGAAGGCTCTCACATCCCTTCAAAGTCCGCTGACTGCCTCGGATGAACTGCGGATGGCTCGTGCTGCTGGTCAAGAGACTTTGAAGGTGACGGCCGGTCTCCATCGGCAAGTATGGGTCAGCGGTAGCAGCATCTTTGTGGACGTACATATTCTGAACCAGTGTCGCAAGCCGGTGAAGAAATTGGAGCTCTCTCTCGAACGCGACATCTTGTGCTACAAACATGCCGCCGCTTCCACCCTGGAGAAATCGGCGGGCCAAGCACGTATCTTTGAGAGCAATGAACGAGTCATTCTTGTCAGGTCGTCTTACAAACCCGGTAGCGCCGGATGGAATGGAGTTGAGCCTCATACAGCTGATATTCGTACGTGCGAGCTTGAACTTCCGCGTGGGCATGGAACGATCCGTTGCGGTAAGTATTTCGAAGTACGGTACTTCCTCAATGTGATCGCTGCGACGGCAAACTCCAAGGCCGTTTCTGTACAGCTGCCAATCATCTTGATTCATATGAATTCGCTCGACGTTATGCCCAATTCGGTTGCTCAAGTCGCCGCGGCGATTGAGGAAAAACGTGCGCACCGGCGACTCAACCACTCTCGGTCGCAAAAACAGGAAATGGGGCACTCACGGCAACGATCGCTTTCATCACCTGCGCAAACGCTGGACCTGAGGAGGCAACCGTCATATGCGCAAGGGCGGGCATTCGCAGCGCCACGCCAGCAGTCTTTGGACAGACAGAGAGAGCAGAGGGCGGATATGGACGAGCTTCGCGGGATGATCGACTCTTCTCCTAGAAAGCATGCAGCGGCCTTTCCCAAAGGAGCCCCTGCTTGGAAGACTGCAAGTCACACAAGCCTCGCCACTCTTGCGTTCCCGAATCGCAGCACGGAAACGCTGGGTATGCTGGGTGCAATGTCTTACGACGCTCCGGGATGCATTGATGTTGGCCAAGATCAGTTTGGACATGCTAGAGACCTGAAGAGTCGACTGCTGCGAGTGGAAAGCACAGATTCGATGCGAAGCAAGAAACCATCATTCCCGCTAAGATGTCGAAAAGATGACCAAAACGATCGACCGCGTGCTGGTAGAGCGACGGCGCAAGCGCACATTGGACCATACACTCTTGGTCTGTCGACAACGACACCAAGAGCCAGTATGGACGGACTGAGCGAGCGTTCTGGCATTGCAACGAATTTGCGAGACAAGCTTGACCGAAGTCGGTTCGAGTTCCAGGCGGCTCGAAAGAAGGCGAGTGGAGGGCTCAAGGAGCGTTGGCTGGAGTCACGACGAACTCGAGATAGTGATAAAGAACGAGATGGTTGGTTATGAAGTGGCAGATGAAGTATGGCTTTTGGATATAGAGAGGGTCGAGTATGCACGCGAATTTACATGGACGTTTGATATGAAGTTTTCATGATTCCGTGGAATGCTCGCATCGCAAGCAAGGAGTGTGCGTGTCAGACGTTGATATTGCGCAGGAAAGAGTTGAGGGAGTGAAACACGTGCAGCATCACTTCACGCCGTCGTCACGCTGCCATGACTTCCAGTTGCCTGAGAGTTCGCTTCGCATTCGCCCACAAGCAGCTCTACCAGGCCAATTGACAAACTTCTCGGACCGCTGCCGGATGCAGGCACGACAGGGACCATACATGTACTACTGGACATTTCGCTTCCATTGAGAAGTACAGTGCAGCGAACAAGAGTGTTCCGGCCCCAACATGTCATGTCTACTGTACATGAAGCAGCGGTCCGGGATGCCGAAGTCAAGGTTTTGCGAAGTGCCGAAGTCCGGTGTGCTGTGCAAGAGCGCAATTGTGATTTAGGTTGCGAGAGTCAGACGAACTTGCTGTCACGGAAGCAACAAGCCAGTGAAACGAAACGAATCAGAGGGCGAGGGCGAGGGCGAGGGCGAGGGCGAGGGCGATCGCGTTTCATCTCGGCTGGCGCAACGTGCGCAGATGAAGGATGCAGGTGCACATTGGAGACGGACCGCAAAAGAAGGCAGTCACGACTCACTAGCTTACCGCTAGCTTCGACCGAGTTACCCGACACGGAAGCTTAGGTTGGAATTGGAAGAGCAGATGCAGAGGCAGCGAGCTGCCCTCATCATCCACCCGCTTCCACTCCTCTTCGCCTCACGCTGAGCTACATGTACTGCGGGCGAAGGCTGCGCCTGCGAGCAGCTCGTCCTGTGCCTGTGCCTGTGCCTGTGCCTGTGCCTGTGCAGTGCAGCTGCAGTCGTGACAGGCGCCGGCCGCTTTGAAGAACTGTCGCCGCCTATTCTACGCCGACGGTGCTCGTTACTCCCGCTGCGCTGCGCTGCGCTGCCTGAGCTTTGCGTCGTGTTCGCCGTCACCTCACCACCACGACTGTAACTGCACTTGCCGGCCTTGGTCCGGCGTCCGCTCGTTACACACATCGACATCTTCGACCTTCTGCGAAGTCGTCCGCTCTTTCGCCGCCTCGTGCTGTCTCCAGTACAGACAGCCTCGTACCGATTCCGCTTCCGGACCCGGTACAATCGAATCGCTGCATCCATATACCAAGCTCCGGACAGCTTTGCGCACAGAACGACTGGATGTGCATGTCGTACAGGAATTGCAAGCAACGGCTGTTTTGAGTGTGCCAAGAGAACTCGAGGTGTCGCATGGACTTCGCTATGGCACCTCCAGTCAAGCGCCGCAAGCTGTCGAGCACATCGAGCTTGGAGATACGTCGGGACAACTGCACCGAAATATCAGACACATCGTCTCTTTATACCTTCCCAAAATCGCCGCGTCCCAACGCTGCACCAACATTACAGACATCGTTACCTCAAGTGGAGAAGGAAACATCGCAGGAAGTGCATCCCGCGCTCGGAGGCATTGAGAACTTCAAGGTCTTACTACCGCGGCAAGGGGCACTGGCTGTAGCAGCAGATCTGAGCGTGAGCGTGTCTGTCGCACCTACGATTGCGTATGCCGATGCTTCCACCACCATCACCTACACGCCTCCTGCCACTCCTTCTTTACCCACTCTACCATCCATATCTGGCGCTACCACATTCTCGACTACTTCAACCTCAACCGCTGCCTCGACTAGCAGTTCGACGTCCAACTCAACTTCCGAATCAACATCACGGATTACAAGCGCTCCACACAGCCTTACAACGTCATGTAAGAATATCTCTTCCATTCGCTTGACCTTCTGCTGATTCGGTAGCCACAGCCGTCAACGCCAACAGCACTAGATCAGGTTCAAGGACTAGCAGCTCTTTATCTGCTGATACTTATTTTATCGCTACCCTCTCTGATGGCGACATCACCACCATTACGCGTGCTCGGACAGCCTATGTAACGACTTTCGCTGACGACGAGATATTCACCATCCCCGGCCTGTCGAACACTCTTAGCGATTCGGGAAGCTCTAGTGCAACCACAACTTCTGTCGCTGAACAGAGCACAGTCACCGCAACTGCGCTCATCAACGGCTCAAATTCCGCCAGTCCTGGCGCCTATGGGACACCTGCTACTTCTGCGCCAAGCAGCAGTACTTCCTCTGGATTAGCTACGAATGATAATCATAACAACAGTAACAGCTCACCCCCAGCAGGTACCATCGCCGGCGGTGTTGTGGGCGGTTGCGCTGGCTTGGCGGTCCTGGTCCTGATTGCAATGCTCTTTGTCAGGTGGCATCGGAGAAGGAACCGCCTTGGGCACCAGGCCCTCCCACCTGCATTCTCTGATTCCCCAGAACAGCCTGGAGACTTGTCTCGAGGGCCCGGTATGGCTGAGCGTGCTGGTCTCGTGCCTTTGGCGGCCGCTGTTCCTGCAATGTTTAGGCATCATAGCCGAAGCACAGAACTGTCAGAATCGTCAGAGCGAGGTTTCACTAGGATATCAGGCCGCAAACTACCTTCTGCTTGGAGCGAGGGCATGAGCGGTCCGCCACCTGAAATGCCATCCAACGCCGCGACAACCAGCAGCACCGCAGGTGCCAGCGCGTCCTACTACCGCGATAGTCAAGGACAGTATGGCGGTGATGGCACAGGATTTCCTCCCTCCTCGCCAACAGCATCGCCTACCTCACCTGCCAGCAGTCATGTTCCACTTAGGAGCAGCACGCACGAGATGATGACCATGTCCCCAGGACCTCAGCGTCAGCCTCAGTTGCATGCAGGAGGGCCATATGGCTTTACAGGAGGGCCATCGGCATTCCAACGTAATGACACGCCGTCCAGCCTGGATCCAAGTCGAAACAGTCGCTTCACTGAAGAGATGTGACTAGAGCGATTTGTGTCGATGTACGCTGAAACGACACACTCCGCTGACGACCTCGATCATTCTGGCCACGGCCATTGGAATGAAGCCCATCGATATCACTAACCACGCATATACCCGCCGAAGGCTTCGTGTTTTTGCATCTGAAGCGTTTGAGCGCGCCGTATCACGACATTGCGGCTTGCGCTTGGCAATTTGCTGGCATTTGGAACATTTGGACGTCATGTCCCCATGAAGGAACACCTTCATACGGGAAGGAATGTGAATCTGTAATGTGTTGTATAGTTTGTTTAAACCTGATGTCCCTGCAGGACGCAAAACTCGTCCTCACCTCCGACTCGCTCTCATTTCAATCGTCCATTTCAAGCCCAGAACTCTCGCTGACCTCCGACTAATGAAGCAAGCTTCGCATAAGAGCACACTGAGTGTGTGTAGTCCTGCTCGATCATCGGGCCATTCCAGAGTCTCAAGCATTGAAGCCGCCATCTTGCCATTGTGGTTGTTTTAATGTTTAATCGGGGTGGAAAAGCATGATATAACCCACGAGGGCACACAAGCTGTCATGCGCGCGACCAGATCTCTTCCCACTGGTGGATCGAGTCTCGTCATGTGAGGCCTGCTCTACCACATCTCCATAAAACGTCGATGCTATGCAGAAAAAATGCTTCTTCGATTCATGCGTGCCCTATCAGTCGCTCTCACTTCCAGGACCATCAGGTCCATCCTCGTCATCTTCAACGACCACGTCATCGCTTGCCATGAGCATCAGCTCGGCTTTCTGCAACACGCTCCGTAACTCGGTATTGCGGGGATCCACAAGATCAATAGGTCTCAATTTCGCCTTATTCCGTATCCTGTATTCGAAAAGAATCAGTCAGTCAGCAGTTCTTCGAAGAGCTTTTGCTTTGCCAGCAAGCAAGCACGAATTTGTGGGGGGGTTTTTTTTTTTCTCTCTCTCTCTCACAAAACACACACCGAGGATCACAACCCGCGTCTACCAGAATATCCACAACCGCTTTGCCATGCTCCCATTCGTTTTGTGGTAAGTTGTTCGTGTACCGCACCGCTTTGTGCAGACATGTGTCTCCCTCGCGCTTCTCTTGGCCATCGATCTCTACGCCTTCTTGATCTAAAATCATGTCGAGGACTTCGTAAGAGCCATATTGTGCTGCGACGTGCAATGCGCTGGAGCCTAGCGCGTCGGTGGTGGAGTTGAGAAAGTTGGCGATTGCGGTGGCTTTTGAGTTGAAGGGACTGCCGGCCAATACTTCTGAAAGTAAGGTGGTGTTGTTACGACGGCAGGATTCTAGGAGGAGTTCTTTGGGAGATGCTCCTTCGTCGTCTGCCATGACTTGTTATGGGAACAACGTCGGAGTTTGGACTTTGTGGATTTCTTGGGGCTTTGACTAGCAAAAGTCTCTGATTGTTTCTGATGCTTGCAACGTGACTGTACGTGAGGTGAGGTGTCGAATGTGAGATTGTTGAGAACGTGGTGCGTTGGCAGGAAGAAGATGAGACACTTCTAGAGCCTCGGAGATGTGTTGTGAGACCGCCAGGCGCGAATCCGGAACCTACACCGAGTCATCAAATTCAACGTAAAACTTTCATTTGCCCACTTCACTTGACTTTTCATCACATGCTGCTCCGGATGTTGGTATTTCCGCTTCCTCGCTCGCCCCGATCGCAGCCCATTGCGCGCAAGACATCTTCTTGACTCACTAGAAATCCCAAACCATGCTGCTCTGTAAGTCACTCATTTCACCGAAGAATGCCTGACAATCACTAACACCCAGAAAACCAGTCTGTCCATCATGCAGCAACATGCTCATCATCAGCCAAGTCCCAGCAGCCCACTGCGCTCCAGGCGATGAGCAGAACATGGGAAAAAACCGCTTCGAATGTCGCACCTGCCCATATCAGATGGTTCTCGGCCGTCGCTACTACGAACGCAAGAACATGAACCTCAAAGCCGTGGATGATATCCTTGGTGGCGCGGACAGTTGGAAAAATGTCGACAAGACTGAAGGTACGTACGGAAGATCTTGCTTGCTTGCTAGCTACTTTATCAAATTCAAGGTTTTGCCTTACTGACTCTCGCTCTCTCTCTACCCTCCAGCCAAATGCCCTAACGAGCAGTGCGAAAGCCGGGAGGCATACTTCAGACAAGTCCAAATTCGCAGTGCAGATGAGCCTATGACTAGGTTCTACAGGTGCACAGAGTGCACTCGGGAATGGCGTGAGAATTAGACAATTACCCGAGTCAGCTTCATTCATGATACCCACTTGTTGCAGAACTACAGGCGAAATGGCGTTCAGAGTCTCTGCTTTATGGCTATATAGCACAAAAGAGACAATTTTGTTAAGGATTGTGATATGATGCTGCTGGGGCGCAAGTTCAGTGCCCGCACCCAACTCGCCGAAATCTGCATAAAACGCTAGGGTATTTTCATCTCCAATCTGTCTCCTCTCCGTGTCTGGAATGCTTTCGAGCAAGCCCCATGATCAAGGAGTACTCTGCATCCGAAACCATCTACTCCACATTTCTGGTCGGCCGTCGAGGACCGCCCTTGACCGATCTCATTCGATTGAGAAACCCGCTTACGCCACCCTTCTCCGGACGATCTTCCTCTCCACTGCTTCCTCTACCACGACTTGACAAGCGGCCATCAGAAGTCAAGCTCCTCGACAGGGCTGGAGCTTTCGGGCTGCTAGTAGCGCGAGGTCTTCCCATTGAAGGCTTGTCTTGCTCCGCGATTTTGATCTGAGCACCCTTTTTGTTGAATGCAGCTTCGTAGTCATTGTCGAACACGTTGACTTCATTCTCCTTGTTGTGCCTTGCTTGAACTGGGCCTCCAGCGCTCGATGCTTTGAGCTGCTGAACCTCTGGGCTGCAAGCGCCATTCGGCTGTGCAGGAATTTGATACCGCGCATCTGGACTCCGAAGGTCACCAGGCCTGTCTCGCCGGGATGCAGACATGCCACGGAATCTCTGCGCAAGCGACTTCTTGCGCGACAAGCCTCCACCGCCTCCGTTCAGCTCGGGATCCTCAGAATCTCGCCTCTGCAGTGCGCTTCTACTAGCAGGCGCACCTTCCAAGAAGGTGGATGTTCCCAAGCCGAAGGTCTCAGCTCCATGTACAGGCTCTGTGCGCTGCAGTGGGTCTATCACTGTGGTAGCTGGCTTCCGCGTCACTGCAAACTCCGAGAAGCTCTCTTCGCCCCGGCCATGAAATCTGTCCAGATCAAGGCGAGAACGCAGTGGACCAGCTCCACCGAGTTGCATGTTTGCAGAATCTGCAGGGAAAGCCTGCATTGGTGCCTTGCGGTCTTTCTTGGCATTGCGGTGTGGGTTGCAAGCATCGAAAGGTCCGTCATGATGGAAAAGTCCCTGTCCGTAGATGCCGGTAACGTCCAATTTGTCGATGATGTCGAGTCCTTGCGGCTTCCGTGGCTTCTTTTCGCCTCTCCTGATCTTCTCCTTTTCTTGCTTGTGTCGCTCTTCACGTTCCTTGCGCCTCTCTCGCCGCCGTTGCTCCTCAGATTCAGTGCGTGGCCGGCTGTCAAAGCCATCGCGGTCCATACGTGGTCGACGGTCCTTCTCCATGACGGACGACTCGGATGCTCGCCGCGGTCGAGGGCGAGCGAAACCGTTTTTGTTCGGGCTGGCCGGATCTCGCGCAGGTCGTGGAGGTCGATCACCAGAGGGTCGCTCTGGCGCGCGATAAGACGGGGCAGGTCGAATTGGTCGTGGTGGAGCTCCGTTCGTTGGAGGGCGAACAAGGTCTGCGTGCGCAGTTAGCCGTCACGTGCCGTTCAGATTGGGATTGTGGTCGGCTTACAAGCTCCAGCACCGCTCACGCTGTTCTGGCCGTTGGACATTGGCTTGTCGAGGAGAGAAAGCTCGTTCTGCAAACGGGGGAAGTTAGCAAACATTTCGCAGAAGTCGTGGAAGCGCTCCATGGCGTGTTTCGTGTCATGTCAGAAGGCACGAAGCGGTAAGTGCAGCAGGGCATTTGTAGCAAGTTGAATAGAATTTGCCAGGATCGGTGACACAAGCGTGCGAATGAAGCAGGGGAAGTTGCAGGGCAGGCGAGGCGAAGACTCACAAAAATGTCTTCGGGCAGAGCTGCTGCGTTCGCTCTGGCCTTTGAATCAGGCTGGGAAAGCTCGCTGTCGTCGAGAAAAGGATTTGTCGACATTGGGCGCGTGGGTCGTTGCACTGCCAGCGGGGGCGTGCCGGCAGCGGTGAGATATACGGGCGTCGAGGGTGATGGGTTGGGAGAGGCTGCCCGGTTGCGAAACGGATTGTTTGATGAGAGGTTCAGCGACAAGCCTACGGGTGCGGGTGAAGGCTGGCGATCTAGCACGCGCGGCGTCTGTCAGTAGGTGTCGTAAGTGTGCGAATGAACGTTTCCGTCGGTGGTCGGGATTGGAGATGGTGACGCGGCGAAGCGAGGTGTGTTGATCGTCGCGCTGGAACGACGTGCGGCCGCTTGAAACATGAGAAAGGAGCGGGTCTGGGGACATACCATGCGCCTGCGCCGTTGCGCCGGCGAAGAGAGCCATGCTGAATGTGCAGATGGGGATGCAGATACTGCTACAGTAGTGTTGCTGCAGCGCAAAAGTGTGTCGAGTACCAAATGTCTGCGCGGCGCTCAGCGCAGTCACGCGATCGGAGTCGTGCTGTGCTGTGCTGTGCTGCGATGTGCTGGGCGGTCCGCGGTTTTGCGAAATGTGACCAGCCGATGCTTCTCTCGCTCCGCCGCCGATGGAATGCAACTCCTCAATTCGTGCTACCTGGGTAGTGACTGACCCTGCTGTGTTTGCCAATGCTTGCAATGTCTGCCGAGGAGCGATGTCGCCGTCGCCGTCGCCGTTGCTGTCGCTGCTGTCGTCGGTAATGCTTCTTGGTGTGCTTCTGGTCAGTGGTGGTGGCGGAGGAGTGATGGAGGTGGTTGTCCTCAGGAGCACGGCGAGCCAGCAGTCATATGCGGAGTAACAATGACTTCGAGCCTTCCCCCTGTCGATGAGGAGCACGAGGCAGTGGTGTGAACCCTGCTTGGGCAGCCTCGGGAAGTGATTATTGTGCTATCAACCTCCCCAGTATCCCATGCTCACGTTTCAATGCCTAATCTGCTCACACCACCACTGGACTGGACCATGTGCTGCCGTCTGCTCCGGCGCACCTTGAACCGCTGGCTCCAGTGCAGAGGCGCGTGAGAGGCTGAAGCTACTGTGCCACGGCAATTCCAAGGGACGGTGCCAGAACGAGAACTATTATTAGTGCAGCTTCTCCGCTTCCCTGCCTTTCTTCACAAACACTGCTGTGGTTCTGGCCGTGCCGTTCACGTTCGAGAAGCTCCATCCAGCTCTGCCGAGTCTCGGCCATTGCCAAACAACTGCATGTGCTGCGATGGTTCAGTCGGAACAAGAAAATGGAAGCGCCAATGCTGCTGCTGGCCGCATCCAGTACGGCGGTCACGACAGATTCACGCTCGAGCTCGAAGTAGGTATTGACGATCTCAATCCGCCGCTCCATCTAGCTTTTGTCGCCAGCATCGGTCTTGACATGGTCTGATCACTGCACTCTACACACACCGCCTTGCTAGTCCTTCACAGCTGGCGTGAAAAGAATAATGGCGAAGGCTAACGAAGGCAACAGTTTGTGCAAATGTTATCCAATCCCCACTACCTACAGCATCTAGCGGCCCAAAAGTTGCTCGACAATGACGAGTTCCTTGCGTACCTTGACTATCTGCAATACTTTCGGCAGCCGAATTATGTCCGCTTTCTCCAGTATGGATATTCGATAATTCTTCGATTTTCATTACTATTGCTAATTGCTCTATAGATACCCAGGTCCAACCTTGCGGGCTCTTGATCTACTCAAACAGGAACAATTTCGCAAGGACATCCTAAAACCAGAGGCGGTGGAAAGAATGGCGCAAGAAGGCTTGGAGGCTGCCACTTCTGGCTGTTAAGCCGCCCAGCGAATCCGACATTGGACATCAGATTTCCGGATTCCAACCTCTCGTCGACGAGTTGGCTATTAAAGCCATGAACAATGCCAGCGAGCTCACAGACATCTCGATGATACGCAAGTGTAAATCGGCACTCACCACGGGTAGCAAGCTGCGAACCGTACGACATCAGAGCTTGCGTTGCGCTCATTTTGGAGCCTGCAATAAATAACGTTCGACCCCATGTACAGATTTAAGTCTGAGCTCACAAAGCAAGGCAAACGCTGCAACTGGTCATCTCCCAGTGTGTTTCAAAAGATCGGATGAAACAAATTGAGCGGAAAGTGTCGTGCATTTCAGCACTTACCAGATGTGCATAGGCAAAAGGGCCTGGAGGTACTTGAGCGATGGGCGCAAAGAGGAAATGGGCACGTTGGCTGAAAGGCAGCCGTGGGCTTGATCATTCATGTGCGATGGCGCATAAGACCAGTCACGCAGCTAAGAAGACTTTGACCAAATCCATGCTTCACCTCAATGCAGCGACCAAGCTGGCGGTGCTGCTGCATTCGGACATTCCTTCTCTGTTGCCCTGCATCTCCACATGGTGGTATATCTTCACCTCAGCGGTCCCTCCGACGCTGTTTTGGTAGCCTTTGCCTTCCCCATCCCTCTCCGTAGCCTTTTACATATCGAGTTGACTGCAGTCAAGTTCTCCGCCGACGTGTTTGTGAGCAGTGTAAGCGCGTGCCGGAATCGCCGGACGAATTAAGCGAGACCAACTTCACTCCAAGGCCTCATGAGTATCTTGTGCTCGAGAGGAGCAGCAGCTCGCTGATATCTTCATGGTTTACGGCAAAATTTGCAGAAACCCGATCATTCCTCCACGACTGGCGCCGGCCCAACTGGCAGCACCATTTTCTCCATGAGATTCAACCTAACCTTTTCGGTAGGCATGCCCATTCCTATTGCCATGTAGTGGAGAAGCGGTGGGTGGCCCTGGTATGAAGCATAGGAGTCGCGAGCAATGTTGGAGGTCCACTCGTGCTTGGTAGTATCGGCGTGTCCAGTGCCGATGTATTTATTCTGGAGCGACTCGAGTTGCTGCTGGGTACGAAGTTTGTCGGCCATGTTGACGAGGGTTGTACCACAGATCAAATTGCAAGGTGATCCCTCGGATGGTTTGCGAGGGGCGTGTTGGTGAGGCGAAGTGGGTGTTACTGCGAAGATTCTCTTCTCGAGATTCAACTTCAAGTCTTCAACTCCCAGCGCGCGCCGAACGTACCGGACCGAACCGAACCGCTGTAACGCGCCTCGCGTCTTCCCAGCGGACGCGACATCTTGCTGTCGACTTTGGCAGGTTGCTTTGCATTCTGCATTGCTCGACGAGGAACGTCCTGAGACGTATCACCATGCCTCTTGTGCAGGGGCGGAAACGGCGAGCTGTAAGTAGCGCACATCACAGCACAAAACATGCAAGTACTCATACGCCTCCTAGGAACCACAAGACGAGGAATCGCTGGATGCCTCCCTAGAATCCCAGAGCCAGCGACGTAGGACAACAGGCGACGATGTTGATCAAGATGAAAGTTTTGGCGGGGACGAGGGCGGTCAGACACAAGACGCCAGCCTTGATGAAATGGCGAAAAAGATGGTTCGTCTGGCTTTGAGCTGTGAGCTTGCACGGAAACCAATTAGGAGGCAAGAAGTCGGCGAGAAGGTCTTAGGTGCAAATAATAGAATGTTCAAGAAAGTGTTCGATCAAGCACAAATGCATCTGAATGCGGTCTTTGGAATGGAAATGGTCGAGCTACCATCTCGTGAACGGCTTACGGTGCAGCAACGGCGAGGTATGCTTGATTGACTTTACACTCTCTGCTGCACGCGTATTAACGTTCTACAGCCGCTCAGAAGAAAGAATCTCAAACCACCAAGAACGGCATAACCTCTTGGATTTTGAGGTCGATACTGCCCTCAGAGTTTCACAATCCAATCATACTCCATCCATCCTTTGCGCCGACTCCGAAAGATGAAGCCCAGTACACCGGGATCTATACCGTTCTGGTCTCAGCTATAATGATGGCTGGTGGACAATTAAACAATGACAAAATGGAACGTTACCTACAACGGCTGAAAATCGACGATCAAACACCGGTTGTTGATTATGAGAAGAATGAGAGACTGATGAAACGCATGGAGAAGGACGGCTACATCGCAAGGGTTAAGGAGAGCTCTGGTACCGGAGAAGACGATATCTACTGGGTCGTAGGTTCGAGGGGCAAGATCGAAGTAGGTCAAGACGGGGTCAGAGGAATCACAACAACTGTGTACGCTCCCAAGACAGATGCGGAGGAAGAAGAGCTTGAAAGGAAAGTCAACAGGTCCCTTGGCATTACTCAGCTATCGCGAAGCGAAGTTCAGCCAGAACCCCAACAAAACGGCGAGAGCAGCAGAAGGACGCAGAAGAGCAGAGCGAGAGGCAATGCAGCTCAGCGTGAGGAACCAGAGGACGGAGGCGAAGAGGAAGAGGAAGACTCGCAGATCGAGTACGAGGGTGAAGACGAGTGATGAGGATGGGATGTACCGATGCTCATGGGACTGCACACCCATGTGAGCTTTGTGCAACGATTTGCTGATACCCATGCTGCTGGACTCGAGGATCTCTTCTCTTTGCATGCCAACATCGGTGGTGCACAGCGTCGCTTCCATTCTTCAGCCTCGTATCGAAAGCAGTGGGCCAACGCGCCAAGCCCCTGCCAGTCTTCCGCTGACTGATAGCTAACGCAATATTCGGGTCTCCTCCTAGGTGGGCTAAAGTCATTATTAGACATGATTACTTCGCCTCGCATGCTTGCCGCAACATACTTCGGAGTACCAAAGGAAGTTGATCGTCAGTAGTGTCTATGGACGGACTACGGAGCTGAGAACGCTGCCAAGATGACAAGTGCTGCATGCTGCCAACTGCGTACAAGTTGCCAACTGTATTACGAAGCTCTTATGCAATGTTCTACAAAACATATGTCACGTTCGGACATGGCGAGTGGAGGATGCTATTGGTGGAAAGGAAGCTATCACTGCTTTGGCGATAATTCTCCACCACCAGAACGACGAGACAGTGGCGACGACGCATGTCATCCAAGGAGGGACAGGAGAGCGCCACGGTATGAACTATCGCCAAGCCAACGACCTTTGATATAATAATCCAATCGTAGTATGTGTCCCAAGAACAGCTCCAAAAAGTGCCTTATTCCACTACTACCACAATTGACATTCGAGGTTCAAGATGAAGAACTTCTACTCCATTCTTTGCTCTGTTGCCTGCCTCGCAGCTTGCGCTGTTGCCGACTGTGATGCTCTCATTACTCTAGGGATGAATGGAAGCTGATCATTATCTAGCCTTTCCCTTTGAGCGACTTGACAAGAATGACTCCCTCCTGCTCATTCTCGACCTCCAGGTCGGCTTGTACTCGCTCGCGCGGGACTTCGACGCGACACTGTACTACAACTCGATGATTGCTCATTCCGCGTTAGGCAAGCTCTTTGATATTCCGGTGATTCTGTCTACGTCAGCACAACAAGGGCCAAATGGACCATTGCCAAAAGAAGTTCTGGACATGTATCCCGATGCTCCCATTGTCAAGAGGAACGGCGAAGTGGATGCCTGGGATAACGAGGAATTTCAGGCGGCAATCAAGGCGACTGGAAAGAAGCAAATCATTGTGGGTGGAATCACAACCGACGTCTGTGAGTGAATTGCCAACCATCACTGGAGTGACAAGAGCTTAGCTGACGATTGCTCTCCAAGGCACGACCTTCCTCGCACTATCGCTTCGTGATGAAGGATACAGCGTCTGGGCCAACGTAGAGGCATCGGGCACGACGACTGAGCTGATCAGAGATGTTTCCAATGATCGGATGGCCAGGGCCGGCGTTCAAATCGTCTCCCTTTTCAGCATCGTTTGCGACCTCATGAGGGATGTAAGTACATCGGAGAGTGCAAAATCTAATCGACCGAGCGAGATCAGACACAGCGGCCTGGTCTCAGCTTTCACGATCGCCTTCTGCCATAAACTTGCTGACTTCTTCCCTTTTGCATTTACTTAGTGGCGAAACACTCCTGGTGCTACCGAGGTGATCCCATGGCTTGCCAAGTATTATCCTGTCTACGGTATGCTGGCGCAGGCTCACGGAGGTGCCGTTCTCAACGGCACTATCCAGCCTGGTGAAGATGTCCTGTTGCCGGAGCAATAGTCACATCAGAGATGTTTCAATGCGCTTGAACGCTTGGAACCTGGCTCAGCCCGATAATAGCAATTTGATGGTTATTGACGTGCTGGTGAAGAGGATTTTGAGCAGTAAGAATGATTAGAAAAGCATACGGAGAGAAGGATGGATAGCAAAACGCTTCTGATAGATCTTGATGAATGAATTGAATGTCACGCAGCTGTCCAGACTGCGCCACAGAAACTCAATGCGCTCAGCCTTGGCGAGACCCAGGGACTTTGACACCTTGTAAACGTCGCAAGGCACCTAGATTGACAGTGACGCTCGTGCCTGGATAAATTTGGCTATGATATAACACGTATAATTTGTTTCGAGAATACGATGCCTTGATTCTATGCGACTTCGATCTGCAACAGGCAAACGTGCGCTGCATACGCATGACCGCTCAACGCTGCCTCGAGACTCCTCCGCTGCTTCGCCGGCATCATCTCCCAACGCAGGTCGAGAGTGAGCGTGCCCGCCGTGTGCGCCGATCATTATGTCTTCGCAGCCTCCTGGGACTTTCCTACCAAATACGAAGGTGACAGTTGGCAGTCACAAAGTCTACATCGAGAAATACCTTTCTGAGGGGGGATTTGCGCATGTATACGTGGTTCGTATCCCACGAGAGAACAATAAGCATGAGCTTGCCGTGCTCAAGCGGGTCGCGGTGCCCGATAGAGAGCATTTGGCGAGCATGAGAACAGAGGTCGAGACCATGAAGAAACTCAAGGGCCATGCCAAGATCGTCACATACTATGACAGCCATGCAAGTCAGCTCAAGGGTGGAGGCTATGAGGTTTTCCTGCTCATGGAGTACTGCAATGGAGGCGGTCTGATCGATTTCATGAACACTCGCTTGCAGCACCGATTGACCGAGCCGGAGATCCTCAAGATATTTGGCGATTGTGCAGAAGGCGTGGCTACGATGCACTACCTGAAGCCTCCCTTGTTGCACAGGGACTTGAAAGTCGAGAACGTCTTGATTTCAAAATCAACCAATGGATCTCCAGTATACAAGATCTGCGATTTCGGCAGCGCCGCACAACCACGACCTGCGGCAAAGACAGCAGAGGAAGGAAGGCTGATCGAAGAAGATGTGCAGAAGCATACTACAATGCAATACCGCAGTCCTGAAATGATCGACGTTTGGAGAAAGCAGCCGATCAATGAGAAGGCGGATATCTGGGCCCTTGGCGTGCTCCTCTACAAATTATGCTACTACACCACTCCTTTTGAAGCGGTCGGGCAGATGGCTATCTTGAATGCTTCGTTCAAGTACCCTTCCTACCCTCCATTTTCTGATCGACTCAAGAAGCTGATAGGCTGGATGCTCAAGGAAGACCCGGGAAATAGGCCAAATATCTATCAAGTCATCAAAGAGGTGTGCAGTATGCGTGGATCCGAGATTCCGATCAAGGACATCTACGCCAATCGAACTCATTCAGAAGCCCGGAGAAATGAGGCGCTACCATCACCAGACGCAGTGTCCACTGCTCCAGTAGGTCTTCAGAAGACTGCTCCCCAAGTCCAGGTCCAGCAGATCCCGGAAATAACTCCCATGCGACGAGGCAGATTACCAGCACCAACCCAACAGGCCGCTGCTCCCGCAAAACCAGCTTCGTCTCCAGCGAGGGATGACCCATTTGCAGCACTGGATCATAAGAACTACGATGTTCGGGCTGGCGCAGTAGATGAGCTATCAAAACGCTTCCCATCCGTGGATGAATTCTCTATTGCAGTTGATGGCGGAAAGTTCGCTTTCCCGCCGACTTCACCTCCAGTTACCTCGACCAAGACTGATGATCCGAAGAGTTTAAATCAACGAGTGACCAATGCGTTGGCCGATGAGGTATTTTCACCAAAGCTTTCAGGATCGCCAGTGCCTGCTTCAAGCTCGAAGGCTTCACGCGTTCCCACGGAATTCGCATCTGGACGAGTTGCACAAAAGGTCGAGACCGCACAAGCTTCTCCAGGAAAGAGCGAATTTGCTGGCACCTCGTCAGGGAAGGAGCATTCTTCGCGGCCGGTCGCACAACAAGTGCAACAATTCAATCAGATCGAGCAGCCATTACCCATCCGCCCAGGATTCAACTACAAGACTACCGCAGTTGGATCATCGCCACCTCCAGGTGCTACAAAGAAGCTACCCAATGTCAATGATAGACCGATCTGGCGAGTACCGGAGTCCAGTCGCCCATCGAGCCAGTCTCGCGCTTCAGAAGAGGCACAAGCCGTGGAATCATCCCTCAAGCCAAGCTTGCCGCCCACACAAAGACCTGGTCTCCTGGATGTGCATCGCCCTAAATCACAGATTGGTACTCTGGCTGTCGATCATTCTTCGAGCTCTTCTCGTCCGTCCCTTGAAGGAGGGCGTCCATCTGCGCATGAGCTTGCGGATGCTGGGATTCACAGGGCCAAATCACTCAACGCTCGTTCCAGGCCGACAAGCATGTATGTAAGCTCAAACATGGACTATCTCCGAGACCAAGAGCAGCAACGCAAACGCCCTTCCTTGGAGATAAGGAGGCACAGCCGACACGCCTCGCAAGGCAGGGACCCTATATCAGACGAGGCAGCCATTGAGGACGATATGGAATTTCTGCGAGACGGTGAAGTAAGTTCAGACCATAGGAAGATGCTCAAAGGCTCGCATCATAGGAAAAGACCAAGCCTTGGCGAGATCGGAAAGAAATTTGGCAATGCATTCAAGCGATTTGACAACAATGATAGCAAGCGTACACAACAAGGATTTGCCACTCCGGAGACACATAACACCGGCGACGGGCCGCAGATGCTTTCTCCTATCACAGGTTCCGAGGCGACGCCCAGCAGGCATTCGGACATGAATTCTGATATTGATGAGACGGAAGACCTACCACCTGATGTGAAGCGTGAACTCGAGCGGCAAAGTTTGGCCGCTGAGGAGAAGAGGGTGACTGCCGCGGCCGAGGAATATCGTGCGAGAGTCGCGAATCAAGGGCCGGGTAATGCCATACCTTCTCGAGCGAGTACAATACAGAAGCGTGTGCAGTCACTCCTTGATGAAGGAAGGCAATCACCACAGCCACGGAGAACTGCTGAAGGCTACGGTCGCTACACAGAGTCATCTGACGTAGAACAGCGACAACCTCCGCAGCAACAGTTACCGATGTCTAGCGGCACTAGACCACCTATCATCGCGCCAAAGCCTGCATTGAATCCGAAATCCACCGGCAATCCGTACATGAGGACCAGGCAACTACCTACTGACTCACAGCCAATAACGACGCCTCCTCCGCCTGCAGCCTCTTCCACAGAATCGGCACCTCTGCAGCGAGTTGTGTCAAGACCTAGTGCTCCGCCTAAGCCAACAGTGTTGAGAACTGGTGGGGTTTCTGATTCCCGAGCACCAACCAAGCCAACACAGGATCCGGTCAAGGCGGTGCAACCTGAGCAAACAGGTCGACTTGCGGCGCTGCTGGCAAAGGATTTGGAGGGTGTTCCTGACTATCCCGCTCCAGGCGGCTCTTCTCAATATCCATCTCAGAGCAATCTCATGGAGTTCTCACCTACATCGTCTGAAGATGTAGAGAGCTTCTCGAAAAGGTATCCCAGCCTAAATATCGAGATGGTCGAGACTGAGATTGGTAGCGAGAGAAGGACGATGCGGGTTAAGGAGATATAGGCCGCTATATGTATTGATCATGAGGATATGAACCTGATGGTTCGTCCGCCTTGGAACGGAGGATCACAGTCCACTGTTTATGCTGATCTACCAATACCGCGACTTTCGCATCCATATTGTCGCATCTGTGCGTGCCGTTAGAGCACAACCCCAGACCCCTGCTGAGGCTCTTCAGCATGTGTGTCGATTGGCTCTGGGAGCCTCGGCGCTAGTAAATGTCAAATAGTGTCCTCAGCCTACTGCAATGCGAAAAGCCTGGGATGAGGTTGTCGACGTCATGACAAAATGTTTCGCATTCACAGATCAATTGCCATCGCATCTCAGCACCTCGTCCACAGAAACAGTCGTGCTGCAAATGTTGCTAATGACAAGCAGAGTTCTACGACCTGCTCCTGTCATTGGTATCACGGGCCTTGTACTTGCGGCCTCCATGTCATCGTCCTCATCTGCACAACAACTCCCCTCATCCGGGAACATGTCGACGTCCAAAGAATGGCCAGTCAAGAAATATGCTCCACGCCACCAAACATGGCCCTACAATCCATCAGACTTCACACGACAAGATCCGTCAAACGATTCACAATTCTACAGTACTCCCCGCTTCGTCACTCACATCGACGACGCAGCCATCGACACCCTACGCCAATACTACGAAACCGTCCTCCCACTCAAAGGCAAAATTCTAGATTTCTGCTCATCTTGGGTCTCACATTATCCAAACCCCATAGAAACCGCAGCTGCAAATGGAAGTTTGCAAATCATCGGTATGGGCATGAACAAAGCCGAACTCGACGCCAACCAAGTCTTGAATTCTCGAATCCTCAAGGACCTCAACACAGACCCCAATATCTACACCGCCCTCCAGGAAGCAAACGTCATCGACTCTTCGGAAGAATCGAAACTCGATTCCGCGACTGTGGTCGTCAGTATAGATTATCTGATCGAACCCGTGCAAGTGCTCTCGAGTCTTTTGGATGCGACGAAACCTTCAGGAACCGTACATTTGACCATCAGCAATCGATGTTTTCCAACGAAAGCCATTAGTCGTTGGCTACGAGTTGATGAAGAGGAAAGACTGCAAATGGTTGGCGACTTCTTGCATTTTGCGGGTTGGAAGGATATTGAGATTGTGGAGTTGAGTAGCGGGAAAGTCGAGCAAGAGCTTGCGCCGGGAAGTTTTCAAGGACGGATGAGTTATTTGGGAATGCGTCATAGAGATCCTCTCTGGTTAGTACGTGCCGTGAAAGGATGATTTGTAGGGAACGAGTGCGTCCTGCTCCGTGAAAGAGTTCTGACTGTGGCGCATCTTGGAGAATTCGAGGCGTGCCGAACATATTTCAAGTTGTGTCCAGGATCGTCCTCGGCATGCCAATGGCTTCTATACATGCAGAATTTGACACTGCCGAAGCCATAGTGGTAATTATGTCATCGGAAGAATGGAGAATGGCTCGAATTGAGAAGGTCATTTGGCATTGATATCGTACAACTCTTGCTGTCTGGGGCCAGTGAGGCCCTCAGCTATTGTAAACATTACATCCAAACTCCGTATCGCTATGCTACAAGTCTTGAGCAGCATTACTCATAAGTTCATGCTTTCATCGTCTTCAGGAAGCCATCGAGATTAAACTCTTCCTCATACTGCTTGTCATCCCATAACTCGCTCAGCTCATCTAGCATGCCTTTCTTGCCTTTCTCACGCATGTTGCCCTCGGCGTCAACCGCGTTCGTTTCATCAACTCCATTGGCATCATTGGCTTCGCTGACCGCAAGGTTGGGATCCGTTTCACCCAGGTTGAATAGATCCAATATCTGATCCGTCTCCATGGTGCCGAGTCCCGCATTCTGCTGATTGACAACAGTAGAGGCAACATCGATCTTGAACCGCTGGAGGTTGAGGATCTTCTCCTCAAGTGTGCCTCTCGTAATCAGGCGGTAGACGTTCACAACCTTCTTTTGACCGATGCGATGCGCTCTGTCCATTGCCTGCAGGTCCTTCTGTGGGTTCCAGTCATGCTCGACAAAAATGACAGTATCCGCGCCCGTCAGATTGAGACCGAGACCTCCAACACTTGTGGTAAGCAATAGACAGTCGATGGAAGGGTCAGAGTTGAAGCGATTGACGATGTCCTGACGCTTCGATGCCTCGACTGAGCCGTCTAGACGAGCAAAAGTGGCGCTTGGCAACAATTTCTTGAGGACAGTCGACTCAACCATGTCCAGCATCTCCTTCATCTGGCAGAAGATGAGAGCGCGATGTTGTGACACAGCTTGATCCGCCGATGGAATACCGCCGTTATCCGTAGGTTCCACGCCGATACCACAGTCGACAAGCAAATCGCGAAGCGCTGTCAACTTTGGTGCATGCTTGGGGTCTTTGAGGTTTGAGCCATCTTTAGCAAGTAGCGCTTGAATGGCTGCATACTGCTTGTGTCCCTCTTTCATCACCATGGCCGGCGAATTGCACAGCTTGCGCATGTACTGTAAAGCCTGGAAGATGTGCTGCTTGGCCTCCTTATCGGCACTGCCAGCCATAGCCTGAAGACTCTTTGATTCTTTTTTGGTGAAGTCATCGAATAACCTCTTCTGCAAGTCACTAAGGTCGCAGTAGTAGTTCTGGAGAATCTTGGGAGGCAGATCATTAAGAACTTCTTCCTTCAATCGGCGGAGCAAGAATGGCAGAACCTGCTTATGCAAAGACTCGATCGCCAGCGCACCAGCCTCCTGCTCCTTGGAAGACGATTTTGCGAATCTGCTTGCAGCAATCGGCTTGGCAAATCGGTCCTGGAAGACCTTCTCGGTTCCAAGGAATCCTGGCATTAGGAAGTCGAATAGGGACCACAACTCTAGTACATTATTCTGGATCGGGGTGCCGGAAAGAATGAGGCGGTGATTGGCCACAAGCCGCTTCACAGCAATAGTGACTTTCGCCTTTGGATTCTTGATCAAGTGACCTTCGTCCAGGACACAGTAGTTCCAATTGATGGGCGCTAGGATATCAATATCATTCCGGGAGATGTCGTAGGAGGTGATGACCACGTCTGCAGTCTCTAGCTGATCGCGAACTTTGCCACGCTCTCCCGGTGGTCCTGCATATGCCACAGCGTGTAGGAATGGTGCATACGTCCGAATCTCTTGTTTCCAGTGACCAGTCAGTGTCGGCGGACAGATGATAAGACTGGGGAGGCGGCGCATGTCAGGCGCCTGAGTCTTTGCGAATTCTTCAGCTCGGAGATGGTGATCGCTAGCCACGATGCACAGAGTCTGTAGAGTCTTTCCGAGACCTGGAAAAAAACGCAGTTAGCATGTATTTGAGAAGTGGAACGCACAATACGCACCCATATCGTCACAAAGGACGCCGTGCAGGTTGTAGCGATTCAGGAACGCTAGCCAGTTCACGCCATCTTGCTGATAAGAACGTAGCTCCGCCTTGATGGCAACAGGGATCTTGAATTCGTCAACTTTCTTTGGGTCCAGCATTTGCGAAATGAAGTTTCGCTCCCTCTCTCGTCCTTCAAGAAGACTTTGTGGGAGGCCTTCCGGGTCTGGAATGCCTGCTTCCAAAGGCACAAGTTTGACCAAAGTCGCGAAAGCGGTTGTAGCGATAAGACGAACGCCAGGATCGGAATCACTCATACGGCCAAGCACGGGGACCAGCAAGAAGATTACGTAGGGTAGAATTCCATCGCCCATCACCTGGATGAGATGATAGATGCACTCGACCGCACCTTGGCGGTGCACGACCTCGTGGGCATCTTTAATTGGGGGTATGACCTGCTCAACGAGCATTGTGAAGCCCTGAACAGTGATGACACTGCAGACACTCGCAAAGCATTTTGCAGCAGTGTAGCGGAGCACAGCAAGTTTGCACTGTAATGCTCTTGCTACAAAGGGCAAGAGGTGCAGCACCCAGGGATGAAGCGCAGGATCAAGGGTGCCGACGAGAGCTCGCAAGGTGGACATTGCATCGACTGTCTCCTGGCCAGTAGTAGACTCCGGATCCGTAATGTTGGGTGGCAGCTGATCGGTGAAGCAGTGCTTGACGGGTCCTTCGATCAGTGCTTGTAGCACTGGCACTTTGGTGAATATATCTGCGCCGAACGCCAGGCAAAGCTGCTCAAGAGCATCTTTAGCGCCTCGCCGTGTGATTCGCGCGGCTCTGACTTCGCGCTCGTATTTCGCAGCGTCTGGCCGATCTTGAATGTCTTCGTCCTTTTGCAAAGAAAGTATGCCAACGTCCTTGTCCGCATTGGGATGGAACTCTGGTGTTTCCCCGGTTTCCATGCAGCAAAACTTGACCAGGTTACCGACCACCTTCTCCACCACCTTGTGCCGCGCGTTAGCAACCAGCTGACTGATTAGAGCAGCGACAGCCGATGCAGTTCGATGTTGCAAATTCACGTTGTCTTCCTCTTTCACGCTGTCCATGACTGCCTTGATCGTGTACTGCGGCTTCTTTGGGATTGCTCGGAAGGCAATCAGCGCGGCGGCGGCAGCTGAGCGGATGCGAAGGTCTGCTTGCGATCGGGCCACGTGCGCATCAGATATGGCGGTTTCAGCGTCCAGCTTGGCAGTGTTGAGAGCTTCAGCGGCAGTCATTCTTTGCACAGTGGACATGCCCTTCTTCAGCCGCTCGTAATCCTGGTTGATGATTTTCTCCGCGTCCGCTATCGAGAAAGCGTTCTTCCCAGCTTCTGGCTCGCCTTGACACACTACTGCAATGATAGGTAGCTTGCTGCCAGGCACATGACCTTGTTCCTGGAACGCATTCAAAAGCTGCTGACACTGAGCTCTTGCAATACGCAGATAACTAGTCAGATCGCTGTACCAGCCAGGCCTCTCCTCTTCTACCAGCGACCGAAGTTCAGTGCAAGCGTCAGCTGCCAGAGAATCTTGTTGCCAGCAGAATGAGGCGTAGCCTTCTAACGTCATTGCCGTGAACAGCTGTGTGGAACCATAAGGTGATCTCAAACTTGGCAGGAGTCTGGGGCCGAAGAAGACTTGTCGCTGCTCCGCAGGAAATAGTGAGATCGCTTTTCCAAGAGCACGAGTGGCAAAGATTCGGCTCCTGATCATCACGTCAGCTCCTACAAGATCAACATCGCCCTGCATGATAGCGGCGTCGATGTTGTGTGCAGTGTTTGCTTGAGGCGGCAAGGAGCTCTCTTTCTTATCCGACTTCCGCCTCTTCTTGGCCGGCTCAGACCCATTGACGGGAGATTGTCGGTGAGCGCTGGCAAGAGGTGCATAGGTCTGGCCCGAGGGCTTGACAAAAAGTGTTGCTTCCATGGGGATCGGGTGACGACTGATACCGATCGGATGAATTGTCAAGGATATAAGCGGGATAGCATGAGGCTGGAACTCTTGCTGGAACACATCTTGCCCATTGGCAACCACTGCCTCTGCAAGTGCATACCACACGTCCAAAGACAATTTGAGCACGCCGTCGTTGCGCTCTACTAGCAAGTTTTGGAAAACCAGCCGCAGAGCCTTGCCATTGATCCAGCCCTTGGTGTCTTGGCCATCGATATGGATGAAGGTCAACAGAGCACGAAGCACAGCCGATCGCACGCTTGTGATTGTGTGACGCAAGAAAGGATAAAGCCTGGGAACGAGCTCGTCAAACGACTGTAGTGGATCGGCTGCTGCGTTTTGCTTCATGGCGGAAAGCACCTCTGGGAAGGTGCAGAGTTTTGCGAGTAGGTCCATGACAGAGCCAGTACTGGCGCTCAGATCGTCTGAAAGACTTGACAGGCACTCCCAGACCACGCTTATGAGGTGACCTAGCTCGTCCGAACGCACATTGACGAACTCTTTAGCGACAGGAATGAGCGTGGCAGCGCTCACAGATCGCACATCGTCGTCTTGATCACCCAGGCCTTTGATGACACATTCAAGGACGCCATCCATAAGCGATCGATCCTGGAAGAGGAGGTCTGTCCGAACAGCAACGAGGTAGCGCATTCCAATCATGCCACCGTGACATGCGTGCCAAATGCGGCGCGAAACTTTCAAGTCTTTCTGCATCACCAGGCGATACAGAATTCGGTTGATCTCGTGAACGGATGAAGCCGGCAGGTATTGGAGAACTGCGCCGAGTACCTGGCCGGCTGTCTCGCGAATGGGGGCGACGGCGTTGTCTGAAACATAATCCGCAAAGCGATCGAGCATGAAAACACAGCAGATTCGGCAAGCTAGATCGTCGAGCCAAGCGCGGTTGAGTTGGTCGTTCTCTTCGGCAGTCTTGTCAGCTCGTCTCCCAGCGCCGGCTCCATGCACTCGCACGATCTCGCGCAAACCCATCGCTGCTCCATGCCGGATCTCCCATCCTGGGTCGAAGAGATCGACCGTGAGAAATTCGCAGAGACGCTCGAATGGCCATCCACTTCCTTCCTCTTCTGCTTCGGAGACGAGCGTTGACTTTTCGGGGATTGGCAAGCCCTTGAACTCTGATACGACCTTGGAGTCATCATCGCCACCCTTGCGATCCAGCGAGAAGTAGTCGGAATCGCCGTTCTCACTGTTCTCGGCCTTGATTTCAGGCTTGATGTCGTCGGCAGGAGTCTGGGCAACACTGGTACTTCCACGACGTCCTGCGAAATCATACTTGAATTTCTTGTTGTCGCGCTTTAATTCTTCCTTCCTCCGTCGCTTCAGCATGTTGAGCTGGCGCTTGCTCATTCCATCAGCTGGTGTTTGTGGCGGCGCTTCATCGGGCGATTTCATGAACGTGTCTTCGTGGCCGTTTCTACATGTCTCCGTATCGAGCTTTGGCAGAGACGGGGTGCCGACAAATGAATTCGGCCTGATAGCAATATCTTTCTCCGTCACCAGTTCGTCTTCGATGTACTCGCCTCCAAGGCCCAAACGAGCAGTCAGAGTCTTCTTTTGCGCCGCCAGACGCTCCGTTGGATTGAGACCAGCTAAACGGAAATCGTATTGCTTGCCAGCACTGCCCAGTAGCTCCTTCCCATTGGTCAAGATTGCTTCGACATCCAGCGTCGACAATTGCAGTTGATCCGGAGCTGAATTTGCCGAAGAATCCTCGCGTTTGATGTCGGCATCGGAATGGTTCTTGACATGGTCCAAGGTGGCATTTGGGTCATAGTTGTCCGCATGCTCGACGATGCCTCCGATAGCGCGAGCAGCGGCGGTGCGGGTATCCCAGGATGGGGATCGCAAGTAAGGCACAACCCGGGTGAGCAAGTTGAACAATTCATCGGGGTGATTTTTCTGCACGTCTGCGAGCTGTTGCGCAGCGGTGTTTCGAATCAGTTGGGTGCTGCCCGTCTCCAACAGGACGACGAGGCGATCGAGGCTGCGCAGTATGGTCAGCCTGGCATTTGCATGTGCGCCAAAGCTTAATCAGCAAGATGTACGTACCGCGAAGTGGCCATTTCTGCTGGATGTGCTCCAAACGCCGGCTAAATGCAGCAACAACAACAACAACAACCAAACACAGAAGAGAAGAGTGGCATGGAGATGTTAGCTGGACGGCATCTGATGAGAAACGGGGGTGGGGTGGGTGTGCGAGTGGCAGCAGTATCGAGGTGGACAGGCTTGCCGAAGTCGAGTGCGGACACTGCGGAGGCCAATCACTTGACTGCTCCGTCAGTCGCGGTGGCAGTCGACACATCACATCTCACGGGCGCGGTCGCCGCGTTCCTTTTAACCCATCGCGCCTGCCTCGAAATTCTGCCAAGACGCGCTAACGGCGGCTTCGGGACGGGCCAGCGAGTAGCGTGATTGCCTGCACCCTTCGAAGTTCGGGGCTTCGAGCCAGCGCGCGCCGCAGCAGCTGCAACTGCAACTGCAACTGCAACGGCAACTGCAACGGCAACTGCAACCTCTGCGCATGTCATGTCCTCATCAGAAGGCGGACGGCAGAATCATGGCCGGGGGCCGGGGATCTCACATCGGCCATGACTGCCCTGTTGCGTGGAGACGCAGAGATGTGTAGGAGAGAGAGTTCGCGGGTCCTTGCGCTAGAATACCCCTGCTCATTTTGAATCACTTCCCTGCTCGGTAGCTCGGCGCCTCACGCGTCCTCCTGCTCCTGTGCTCATCGCCACACCCACATGTATTCACCAACACGCATCACACGCACCTTACCTGCTCTCACCGCGAGGCCATTCAACAGCCTGATCGACAGCTGTGCAACATATACCCGTGTCCCCCATGCCCTTCCGACTATACAAGTACTCCTCTCGTACCGAGTCCGCGTCTAACTTGCCTCTCTCTTCGCACCCTGAGCCCAGTCTCGGAGTATATTTTTCCGCACTTTTCCAGTGCTGGTCTTGGGCAGTTCATCAATGATTTCAATCTCCTTCGGCACCATGAACCTCGAAATGCGACTCTGCTTCTTTGCCCACTGCATTATGTCATCACCCGAAATGCTCCCCTTCTTCCCCTCCTTCACAGTCAAGAAAGCCTTGGGTCTCTCACCCCACTGCTTATCCTGAACCGCTACACACGCCGCCTCCAACACGTCCGGGTGCGTCACGAGCATAGACTCGAGAGCGACAGAGCTGATGTTCTCGCCGCCAGAGATTATGATGTCTTTCGCGCGATCGAGAATCTGGATCGCTCCGTCTGCATGCCACACTGCAAGATCGCCAGAGTGCAGCACACCTCCTGCGAAAAGCTTCTTGGTCGCTGCAACATCTTTGTAGTAACCTTTGGCGCAGATGTTGCCAATGAATACTATCTCGCCGATCTCTTTGCCGTCTTTGGCCACATCCTCGATTACCTCATTGGCATCCCACTTGCCGCTCTCGTCCTGGTTGGTCTTGATCACACGAACTGGAAGAGAGGTGATGAAACCGTGTCCTTGGCGAGCCATCTGAGAATCGAGTCAGTGCGAGTCATCTTTACGTTTAGTGATAGGGCTAAGCTTACTTTGCCATATTTCTCTTTGCTCTCCAAATCATCCCATTCTGGCAGCTGATAGCCTTTGGTGATCGGGCCATATGTTTCTGTCATACCGTAAACGTGCACCGGTCGGAGATTGTGCTCCTCCATTCGTTGAAATAGGTGAGCCGTTGGAGGACTTGCCGCAACCGTGACACGGACGGGATACTGCAGCTTCTCTGCGTTGGGATCCGCAAGAAGTAAAGTATTGACTGTCGGCGCGGCGTTGAAATGGCTGATTTGCTCCTCCTTGAGCAGCTTCCAGATGTAAGGGTAATCGATTTTTCGGAGACAGTAATGAGTGCCTCGTACAGCGGTCACGGCCCAAGGAAATGTCCATCCCATCGCATGGAACATTGGAAGGGTCCAGAGGTAGTGGCATCGCTTTGCTAGGCCGTGGCTGGTGTTCAACCCGCTTTCGATTACATTGCCCAACGCCGCCAGATAAGCAGATCTGTGAGTGTATTCCACGCCTTTCGGCCGTGCAGTCGTGCCGGAAGTGTATGAAAGTGCAAGCATGCTGTCTTCATTTGGCACCTGCGTCTCAAGGCCAGCCCAGCCATGTCCACCTGTGCGATCGTCATGTTGTAATCCTTCGAGAACTGCTTGATCGTATGGACCAGTATCTTCATCGGTGTCAGTATCAACGATGAGCGGCACGTTTGTGTGCTTCTGGTTGAAATCGTCGAGAAGCTGGCGGAACTCTGCGTCGACGATTATCATGTCCACATCCGCGTGATCGAAAATGTATGTAATGTCGTCTTTCTTGAGCCGGTAGTTGATTGCAACGTTAACTGCGGAGGCCGCACCAATTCCGTATATCGATTCAAGGAATGCTGGAGTATTTGTGCAGAGTATGCCAACCCGCTTAAAACCATGTTTTTTCAGGTAATATGCCAATCCTCGTGCTCTATCTGCTGTGGTCTGGTAGGACCTCCTCAACATCTTGCCATTGGCAGTCCGGTGAACACAGGCGACCGCATTTGGCTCGATACTCGCAGCTCGGGGAAGAAAGAATGTGGGGCTCAGTTGATGAATGTGATGCGAGTGCTGAAAGTCCGGGGCAGACATGTTGTTGTTGTCTGCTGCTGTTGGACTGCTCGACGAAGGCGCGAAATGTGCGGCAAGCGTGGACAAGCGTTTCATGGCCGTCGACATGATGGGCTAAAGCTCGATGCGCTATATACAATACGCAATATGTTTCTAGATCGACGATGTCTCTATGGTAGAACTGAGACAAGGCCGGCTGGCATTGGCAATACGATCGAGGGTGGGTTGCGGCGGGTGAGTGAAGAGGTAGTGACGGCGGCTGGAAGGTCAGTTGTAGACTTGGAGTGTATGCCCAGGTGTCAGGGTCCATCACGTGCCTGATGCCTGAGGCTGCAACTGCTGCACTCTATCTTCGGACTTCTACATAGATTAGTCCTCCTTCTGAATACATTAGTTACATCAAGTGGTTATGAGCCCCCTGCGTTTCTAACGCATTCTATATGTTTTCTAATAGTTAATCCGACTACTACGTAGATAGCGCTCGTTACTAAAAATTGCGCTAATACTAATATCGTCGCCGCCGCTACCGCTCTCGAGTGTTCTAGTAGGTACTAGTCCGACTCGAGTCGGTCACTATTAGTATTAGCTGTCCGCTATATTAGTATTAGCTGTCTACTATACTAGAACGTAGGCGCGCCTATTAGCCGCCTTTTAAAACAAGTTTATAGTCTCTTTCTATATCGCCGTCGCTATCCGTAATAGCTCCCCCTACAACTTCTAACGCTTATATAAGCAATATTCCTAAGCTAAAGAACAAGGAGAATTATCTAGTATAGGCCTACGCCGCTAAGGGTGCCCTTAAAGGCATATAGGTATAGCGCTATATTTAGGAGACCCGCCTAAAGCCTAAAGTTAAGCTATTATCTACTAAAACATAGGAGCAATTTAAAGACCGACAAGATAAATAGGAGGCAAAGGACTAGTTAGCGCGTACGTAGATATTCGCTAACTATATATCGGAGATCTAGCAGTCGTTACTTAGACTCGATATCTCTAAGGCAGTATAGGATTATCTATATAAGAAGTATACTAGTAAAGGTAGGTCTACTAAATTCATACTCTTCTAGGACTATATTTGCGAGCGAAGCTCGCCTTACAATAACAAGGAGGTGGATAGGTTGCAGGAATCGCTGTTCGGCCACCACGTAACTTCTAAGCCAACCCCGGATTTCGAGAATCCTGCTATCTGATTGGCCAATTTCTACAAGGTGGAGACTTTCGGAGCTAGCGCCGGTATCTCCGAACAAGCGCCGACTTCCCGAACAAGCGCCGACTTCCCGAACAACCGCCGACTTCCCGAACAACCGCTAGTAAAGCCTTTTGCCTTCCTTCTAATACTTCAAATATATAGTAAAATATATAGTAGAATATACAAACAATTAATAAGAAAATTAATAAGAAAATTAACTAAAACATTAATAAAAGAATTTATAAAACAACTTTTAATAAAAGAATCTATAGAAAAATTAATTTTAATTATAGAAAACATACGATTTAAATTTATAAAATTACCGAAAAATATTAAAGGAACGAGAGCGAGAATAAGAGCGAGGAACCCTAAAATTCGCGGCTCCGCTATACTAGGTATATATAAAATTTAAAAACTCGCGGGCGCTACCGCTATTACTACGTAAGTAGAAGGAGCAGAAGTACTTACGTACAGGTACTATCCTGGTTAGTAAAACAATTAACAAAACAACAAACAAAACAACTAATAAAACAACTAATAAAACAACTAATAAAACAACTAATAAAACAATTAATAGAACAATTAACAAAACAATTAATAAAACAATTAACAAAACAATTAACAAAACAATTAATAAACCAATTAATAAAACGATAAATAAAACAATTAACAAAACAATTAACAAAACAATTAACAAAACAATTAATAAAACAATGAATAAAACAATAGTAGAACAATTAGTAAGGCAATTAATTAAATAATTAATTAAACAATTAGTAAAGCAATTAGTTAAACAATTAGTTAAACAATTAATAAAATAAATTATATTCTAGTAAATAAATAACTTATAATAAAGTTAAAAAGAAGGTAAATAATAAACTAGAGAAGAAACTAAATAATAAAGCAAATAATAGATTCAATAAAAAACTAGAGAACAAAGTAAATAATAAACTAAATAATAAGCTAATTAATAGACTAAATAATAAGCTAGTACTAAACTAAGTAGTAAGATAGAAAACAAGTAATAAATAAGGATATAAATAAGAGGACTTAGACGTATTAGAAAAAAGAAAACATATAATAAAAATAAATAAGAAAATATAAAATAGGTAAGTAAAACAAGTAAGATACTAAATAGAAAAACTGTAAAACATTAAAGAAAAAAATTAAAAATAGTTTTTTTAATAATATAAAAAGTAGTAATAGATATAAAAAATTAGAGAAAACTAGAATAAAAGTAAGTAATATATATAAAGTTAAAAATAATAAAGTAGTATCTAAAATACTAGAAAAGAAAAATAGTAATACAAAAATATAAAAATACTTATTCCTAATAAACTATTCTAATAGAACTAAATCGTATAATAATAGTAATAGCTTCAAGGTCTAGCTTCGAGGTCTAAAGACCGAATTAGCTTAGTATATATAAGGCGAAAGCTTCGCTCGCACTCCTCTAGGCACGCGCTAGCCGCCTAGGAGCACATTTTACCCTTCGCTATAATAGCAAGGACGTCGAGAAGTTCTATAACGAATATAAGAAGAAGCTTAGTGCCTTAAAGAACACTAAATTAGCTATTAGCTAATATTAGGCTGTCTATATGTTTATTATATAGATCTCTCTATTCTACGAGGCTTTTACGCAGATGCGCCGTAAGCAGATACGCGCCTTAGAATATACTATTAATAATAGTACCCTTAACAACATTATTAGCGCGTTGCTTAATAAGAATATAGCTTAATTAAACTAGGCCTAATATAATAGATTCTTTAGTCTTTAACGCTAACTATAACAGCAAGGTAGCAATAGCAATAGCAATAGTCGAGGTAACTCGAACCGTAGCGGTCGTAGTAGCCGCGGAAACAATAACAACGGTCGAGGCCGCGGTAGAAGCAACTAGAATAGTTATTAGTCTAACCGTAAGAAGTGCGCCTATTATTAGGGATTATACCCTTCTAACCGCTACTATACTAAGTACCCTTACCTAAAGGAGGAAGACTAACTACGTCGTAAACAGTAGAAGGCTAAGAAGAAGGGGGTATAGTAATAGCAGCAGCGTAAACTAACTACTTAGTAATAGCAGTAGCCGCTATCTAGTTAGAATAGTGCTTAGGGGCTATATGCGGCTAATGCTACCCCGGGGGTGTTATTAGGCCTAAGCGACAATTACGCCTTTACTATAAATACTATAGTTACTATTAGCGACTAGGTGTCTACGGCTCTTACTACTAGCACTCGTACTACTAATTAGGTTGTCGACTTAGGTACTAGTATATATATAGTTAACGACCCTTTATTGCTTATTAAATATAAAGGCTATTATATTCCTATTCGGTTTAGTAGCAATACGAAGTACGCTACGATAGTCGGAATAGCTTAGACTAAGGTAGTTAATAAGCGTAGTATAAGCAGCATAAAGTTGTCTAATATACTATATATGCTAGGTCTAGCAGCTAACCTCCTATCTACTAAGAAGCTTACCGATAAGGGCTGTTTCTATCGGAACGATAAGCGCGTACTATTTACTATTATTAACGGCTCGGAGGTTACTATTGCTTAGATATACCGAAAGAATAGTCTCCCCTATCTGTATATACTAACCTCTAGTCTAGATAGTAAAGTAGTTGCCCTTTTGTTAAAGAAGGGGGTGCCTACAGGTACTATAGATAAATAGCATCTACGATATAGCTATATTCATTACCGCAAGCTGCTAAGAATAGAATCTAAGGGTCAGATTGTTATTACTAGTACTAAGAAGGACTTCCGCAACTGCATTGCCTATCGCATAGCTATATTACATAAGGAATACAATCGGCTACTACGCGTACGACTATCTACGATCTATTACATTATCTATATAGATATAGTTACTATTACTAACCCTAAACATAGTAGTTAAATTGAAAAATGGCAGCGAACAATCAGAAACGAAGAGAAGACAGTTAAGAAGGAAGGGAGGACGAATAGAAAGTACTATATACTAGGGCAGAGGAGGTGCTAAAGGCGGAAGATAGAAGAATCCCTAAGAGGGTATATAGGATAATAATCTTAGAACTCCTTAGAGGACTGAAAGCAATCTACAACTAGGCAAGCTACGTAATTACAAAGGTAGCTAATACAGTCGCAGTAAAGATTACGAAGAAACAATAAAAGACAAGCCTAAACTACTGCACCTAGGTAGCAGTAGCTAGTTAGGAGGCGCTAAAACCCCCGAGGACAGTAGTTAGAGTCTATATTACGGACCTATAGGAGCAAAAGGAAATCTAAGGACTTATAGGGAAAGAGATTGTAGAAAGAATTATAGTTAAAGAGGTAATTAGGGCTAGGAACGAAGGTAAAGGGGTAATTAAGCTGTTTATAGTATAAGAGTAGGACAAAAAGAAGCTAGAAACACAAAAAGAATAGACAACTAAGATAGGGAAAACAGCAAAGGTCTCCTAACAGCAGTTTATAATTATAGCCTATAGTATAATAAGAAGCTTTAAGGAAGAACGGGATGTTAAGAGCCTATAGAGACAAAACCAAGCTATATACCTAGGCCTAAAGATTACAAAAGTAGCATAGATTAAAAGGAAAATCGAAGAGACTAAGAAGCAGTCTTCCCTAATTATCTAGGTAGGGAGTATAGAGCAAGCTAACATAGTACTAGACTAGGGGTTGTTCTAGGACTTTAAAAGATTAGAAACAGAGATATATAGAAGTAACTATAGGATAATGCAGTGCTTCAAATATTAACACTATAGACACTTAGTAGCTAAGTGTATAAAGACAACTAATACTTGCTCCTATTATATAGGGGATTACTAGGTTAAAGAATGTAAAGCATATAAGAGA